CAAGTTGAAGTATGTTTATCGAGACAAGAAAAAAATACATCTCAAAGGGATAGAGTAGCTTATGCTATTTCAACCCCCCCCCCCCCATACCACAGCGCTCCAAGTGAGGGCGCGGTTGGTGCATTATGCAGACAAAACGTTTTGCTCTATGTACACGCTTAAAAATGCGATTTTGTTTAGATTTGTATATTCACACAAAAATATATAGATTAATTGGTATAATGGTAGTGAACAACGACCAATAATCAGTCCACACAAGTGTCCGTCACCTGGCTACAGGATTAATTGTCGAGTCATCCTGCCATTAGCCGAGCGTCAGATCTGAAATGGCTTCCCTAACTAGAAGCATACAAAACTACTAGGAGTCCACCTAACCTACGATGCTTATTAGTGTCATTTGCGTCAATATTGGAGGTGCTTAGAGCATCTGAAATTTAAGGTTGTGGTCCATAGCGTCAAAATTGTAGTGTATGAATGGAAGAGCAAACTGAAGGGTGAAACATGGAACAAACTCGAACCCTCGGTGCTGGGACGTTAATGACACCAGCTAGGCTAAGGGTATGACACTAATATCACGAGCTAGGCTATGAGCATGACACTAGTGACACCAGCTAGGCTAAGGGTATGATACTAATGCCACGAGCTAGGCTATGAGTATGACACTAATGCCACGAGCGTTAGCGTCATACGACAAACGACAGTGACATTTGTATATGTCTATGAGTATGACACTAATGTCACAAGCTAGGCTATGGGTATGGCATTCGACCATTACGTGGAACAGACGAAGAACATCCTGCCTCGTTTAGAACACGTGACCACAGGTAGGAATATGGTCGTCGAGTGGGACAGCGAGTCAGACAAGAAGTTGCCTCCAATGGGGGCATGACGGGTCGTTCAGCTGGGACACGGACAGGTATGGAACAGGTTTTTACAGTTACTTCCCACAAATCGTTAGACCAAAGCTGACAACCCACATTTAGCGAGATAAGTGTTAAAATCAAGACACGAGTTAAAATAAATAAATAAATGTTATGTATTGATTTCATTTAGTGATATACAAGAAGGTACTAAGAAGGTACTGTTCATAAATCAAATCTGATTTATGAGAATACATAGCATTGATGTGTTTACATTCCTGCAAAGCCACTAACACGCATAGCGTTTCGGGCACTTAACATTTATCGGGCTTATGGTTAATATTAATTATAAAATTTAAATATCCAAAGCCTAGTAACGGACTGCGTTCCCCACGTCAGTGGGCCATTTTTCCTTGACTGGAGATGTTGAATACTACTGTCCACACGGGAAACGGACCAAGTTTCCAGTTATATACTTTATTGTACACACACGTGTTCTAGGGAATAGGTACAAATACAACTTGTTGTTGTACTTGCCGTACTGGTGACAACAATCACAAATATCTTGAACCGCAGGCAATTCAGAAGAGTTGTCGCTAAGAGACTCCACAATATTGTTCCATAACTAAAACCAGTATAAATGCACTTCAAATATCCCGTCATCACTAATTATTATTATTATTAACATCTTTATTGACAAAATTAATTACAATTTTGCCTAATCTGAGGATTTCAATTAAGTCCTATTAAAGTGAGGATAATGCTGGTATTCACTGTCACGCAGGACAGAGGGTCATACACAAGACAATAGGTCTAAACTGGCACATATATATATCATGGTTACAATCAATGTTTTAATGTATGAATATGTGAAAACAACTTTATATTGTGCACTGCCACACAAGGGCAGGGATGGGTTCATTAGTGATGCAGCTTGGAAGTAATTTAAATAAAATTGTTCTTCATTCTTTAAAATGGACAAGCAAATTTTGGATAAATTGTTAGGATGTCGTCCAGAACACCTGAGTCAATGAAATAGTTACACAGTTGATGGTACAATAGGCCAGGAGGTCTAAAATCTTTTACGGTTTCACATTCAACAATATAGTGTTCTAGTGTACCCATTAGAGGTTTATCACAGAGTTTACAATCTGAATATTCTGGTAGTGGCTCAGCTTCACTAACCTGCCAGATGTGTCTATAGCCAAGGCGAATTCGCGCAATGACTACATCACATTGCCTGGTCCGGTTACTGTGCTGACCATACAAATACCTATTATTACAAAACTTGTCATAGCTTTTAATACTGCAGCTTTTAGGTCTCTGGGAATTTCTTAGTTCTTCTAAATCTGAATTAATTTATTTAATTTGAATGTTTCTAATAATTGCATTAGATAGATCAGTCATAATCAGCGTTTTCTTTCCTGCAAGCCTCATTGGCCAATCGATCTACAAAGTCATCACTAATATATCCAAACACAATTTGTCGAGAGTTACTTGGGGGTTTGACTGGTTCACCTACCTCACGACAGAGGTCACTACTCCTTTTCGTTTGACCAATCAGAGTGAAGGTAACATTGTTTATCTTATCACTTAGCCAATCACGGTGCCGGCTCAGATGGACAACACAACTGACCAATCACATATCTTTTATATCAGCTAATGTAAGTCAACAAAATGAGTTCATTTTCTTGCTTCTTAACTTTGTAATTAAAGGTGTTTCGTGTCTTTGTTTCCCCCCGTGTATTTCTTCAAAGCTAGTGGGTGGCTCGAGTCAAATTTCAGATACGTGTGAAGGTTAGTCGGTTTATAGTATGCCTTCGTATTCAGATCCCTGGTTAGCTGGTCTCTATACATTGTTGTATCTAGAAAATTTATCGTGGAGTCACTGTGTTCGAGGGTAAACTTAAGGTTTTCATGAACCGTATTTGACCATGAAAAGAAACTTTCTAGGCGCGGGAAACCATCCTCCATTATTCCGAAGATGTCGTCTATGTAACGGAAATATACCGCCGGTCCGTCCTTCCTGTGGGATCGTTTCCTCTCGAACACTACATGCACAAATATTTCAGCGATTGCCACACTACTGGATGCTCCTATCGTTGTACCCTTGGTTTGCCGGTATGCTTGTCCTTCAAATTGCAAAAGGGTGTCTCTCATCACATGGAGGATGGCCTCCTCAAGAGTTTCTTTCGAGGGGGTTCTCCATACTCCTGCGTCTCGAAGCTCCTGTCTGATTTTTGCTCTGTTATCTGTAAAAAAAAAGTTGCTACTACCTTTGCAGCTTCTCTCTGTGGTATGCTTGGGTAGAGCGATACCACATCCATGAAAAAAAGACATACCCCTCTCAGGACGGGGCTTCTAATTTCTGCAATTTTCTTGAGAAAATCCGTCGTATCTTGGATTCTTTCCGATAGTAGACAGTAAGGGGTTTAGGAGGGCTGTGCAGATCCAGTCTATCGGCCTTGTTGGGGCCCGGCAGCCGCTTAGAACCGGTCTTCCTTGCCACGTTCCTGTTGTTTCTTCTAGTGCTTTATAGATCTTTGGTAAAAGGTAGAGGTGGGGAATGATGGATTCAAAGGCCAGGAAGACATCTCTCGCCCCTGCCTGCATGAGTCCTCCTTTCCCGTCCCCAGTTTTGTTTTCGAACAGCTTGAGGACTATCCTTTTACTCCTCGTTTGGGCGTTTCTAAGCGCCTCATCCTGGTTGTGTATCTATTTGTAGGCTGCAGTGTCTGCCAGGTGCCTCTTCATCTCGTTCCTGTAGTTGTCCTTTCTCCAGGCGACGACAGCACCTCCCTTGTCCTCCGGCTTTATCACAATATCCGTGCGTCCTTTCAGCATTGATAGGGCGTCCCTCTCCTCCCTTGTGAGATTGCAGTTGCGTCGTCGTTCCGCACCACGCTTGAGGTCGACCTTCATTTGCTGGATTACCGGTTTAAGGCCTACTAGGTTGTAATTTGGGCACTGGACTGGTTTGTTGGGGTGGAGGTACCTAAAAGAGAAGGAGAGTTTAGTTCTTTTAATTGCTCCCTGTGACTTACCTTGCTCCGGCCGGAGGTTGCTCCAAACTTGGCTGATGCTAGTTTCGAAGTTGTTGCACAGATCCTCTATCGTGTCTTCTCTCTTCTTATGCGCCGGAGGGCCTATCACGAACGTAAGTCCCTTTTCCAACAGTTTCCTCTCCTGTTCAGTTAAGGGTACCTCAGAGACAACTGTCTGTTTCAATTGTCCTCTTCTCTGCCTTAATTCCTGTCGTTTCCTGAGTTTCTCCGATCTCCACCGTTCCACCCTCGGTCTCTGTCTCCTGCCTGTTGGTCTCGGTTCGTGCTGTTCCAGCGCTTGGGTCTGTTGTTCTCCTGGTTCCGATTGTTGCCTCTGCCCCTGTTTCTGTTTCTGAAAAAAATATTATTATGGCCCCTATTATTATTATTACCTCCCTGTCTGTTGTCCCTGTTATTGTTGTTGTTGTGACAAGGAGTCACTTATAATTAGCATATCAGCTTTGGATTCATATATGGACGACTTCCCAATGCTGTTGTACAGTCGGAGACTGAGTGGTTATAGTACGGGATATGCCAAGGGACATGGAGGTCCTGGCTGACCGGGTTCGAATCCTTCAGGGGTCAAGAGTTTTCTGATGCATGTTAAAATTGGTTTGGTGACCATCGAAGCTTGACGCACACTTGATGCTCGTGTGGCCCAAGCTGTTGAAGTGATTTGATGAAATATCTGTGCCCAGTAATGCCATGAGTGCTGTCGTCTCGTGGTGGTGATCCAACGTCATAGTCAAATTCAGATACGCGATGCATGCCAAGTTCTTGTTATGGATAAGATTGAATTTTAATCAATATATTTTGATTTATAAATATTGTGAGCAGAGTACCATCGTGGCTGACCGGGTTGTACCATCGTGTACCATCGTATACCACTGTGCCACCAGGTACCGCTGGCTTAATCTGACGGTCGAAGCAGATCTATTGGACACATTGGACCTGACGGGGTGGTGGGAGGACATGCTGTATTACAGTCAGTTCACTGACGCCATCTCCTTCATCGACTTTTCAGTGACAATGGGGAAAGCTCTACTTATCAGCACATGGTAACACGTATGTTATACAAGCATCATCTTGTTGACAGGTTGACGGGGGCGTGGCAGTGGGCCACCAGCCTGCCCTTCAGCCTGGCGAACTTGCAAGGAGTACAAACAGGTTAAAGACGCTGGCCCACGCAGGTACCCCTTCTACTACGGCAAGTAACACTATTATGTATCCTCGCTATGTAAATATATTATAAAATTAAATGATTATTCTATATTAGCTGTATCAGTTACACCAAAAAGTGTCATAACTGTGTCCTTTCATACAGCTGTATAGTTCTAGAAGACGTGTGGACGGGGCCGCTGTTCAGGGGACGCCCACTACAGGACGAAAGTATGTTTTCCAGGGGTTGGGATAGGCGATATAACTGACAGGATTGACACACTTTGTCCGACAGTCTGAAGAACGTAATTTGTCTGCCACTCGGTTGGAGGAAAAAGTCGTCGTGAGGAACTAATAAATATATTAAGTGTAATAATAAATAAGATTAGGAAAAGGGAGGGAGTTCGTACCATATACATGGAGTCTTACCGAGGACCGGTGTTGGTGATGAGGTGTTCTCAAGGTTTTATTTATTTATTTATTTATTTATTTGTTTATTTATTTATTTATTTATTTATTTATTTATTTATTTATTTATTTATTTATTTATTTATTTATATACAAGAAGGTACATTGGGTTTATGACAGTATAGAGCATTGAAGTTTTACATTCTTGTAAAGCCACTAGCACGCATAGCGTTTCGGGGAGAAATTACGCTAATTAGGACAAATTGACGTTTTGAAAGGCACTGTTTTGATATTGTAATACCATTTATCAAGTAATGAGACGCGTATATTTTTAAGAACTCAATATTTCGTTCAAAACAACAGAAACTTTTATATTTATGATTTTGGCACGAATCCCATATGTAAGTGGCATCCGAAACGTCGCCACTTACATATGTGCGGGTTGAGTTAATTGTTTAAGTCACGTTGCTCTGACTACATGTGTAATATCTTTCCTTCTCTTCACAGATGACTGGTGGAGATGTTATGACTCTCATCACTCCTCCCATGAGACCAACACTGTCGAAATTCATATGTTGCTGAACTTGCTGTGCAACCCATTCTTGGACACAGCTCCACAGTATTGTTGCTCATATGTTGCTTAACGTGCTATGCAACCAGTATCAGGACACTGTTGTGCTACGTGCACATGTTGCTTAACATACAGTACAACGTATTGACTTCGTGCTGGCCAAATAGGAGTGCTGAGTTGCTGCTCTACTCCGTTAAAACAAAGGAAAGAAGTCTTGGGAAGTTCTCTTCAACGGCTTGGAAAACGAATTATAGACGACAGGATCTCTTGCAAGTCGCCGGACGATGTACACACAACATGGCTCTATCGAAGATCACATGATTTTTTTATTTATTCATATACAAGAAGATACATTGAGTTGTGAGAGTACAGTACATAACATTTATGTTTGAGTAGTGTAAGATTCTTACAAAGCCTGCCCGAAACACGCATAGCGTTTCGGGCAGGTCCTTAATGTAACTAATAAAAGTATAAGTATTAATAGCTACATTGTAGCAGAATTTGAGTGTAACACTACAATATAAATTGATAGAATTGATGGTACTGGTGAGGTTGCAAGTCTTAATTACTAAAATTGTGTGAGTAGGCAGCACAGGATAGAATGTGAGTTTGGAGCATAAGGTAGGAAATTATGGGGATTAAATTAGGTACTTTTTTGCTTTACTTTTGAATAAAGCAGGGAGTGAGTTCCATAGACTGAGTCCTTTTATTTGCATGAAGTGTTTGCACGAATTTAGTCTGACTCTAGGGATGTCAAAGAGTTAATTATTTCTGGTGTGGTGCTCATGGGTTCAAGAAAGAGTTTCAGCTCAGGATTGGCATTTAGGAATAAGGGTTTGTACATGTAAATAGTACAAGTGAATGTGTGGAGTGAGTGTATGTTCAGCATGTTTAGGGATTTAAACAAAGGGGCTGTGTATTGTTGGAAGAGAGTTATAGTTCTGATAGCAGATTTTTGCTGGGTGATGATGTGCTTGAGGTAATTTCCAGTGGTTGAACTCCATGCACAGATACCGTATGTAAGATAGGGATAGAGTAGTAAGTAGTATAATGAAAGGAGAGCACAGTTGGAACATAATATCTAATTTTAGAGAGAATACCAACAGTTTTTGATGATTTACTTCCAAATAAAATGTAGTAGGCCTTTTCTATGCTTAGTGTGAGTTTGTTGGTTAACATCCATGAGTGGACATTTTTTAATTCTTGATTTACAATATTATTTAGTGTGTGTGTGTGTGTGGGTTGGGGTTTGAGTAGATGAAGGTAGCTTCGTCAGCATATAGTATAGGTTTAAGAACGTTAGTGACATTTGGCAAATCATTCCTGTACATCAAATAATATCATCCAGCAACCAGATTTCGCTTAGGCAACGTAGGTACATTCTACCATCTATAAAACCTAGACAGAGCTACTAGCTTGCAGGCACCGCTCCTGTGCCAGGTAAGTCCACTACGGGCTCACCATAGCCCGTGCTACTTGCCCCGTTCCTATGCCAGGTAAGTTACGGGCTCACCATAGCGCGTGCTACTTGTCCCGCTCCTATGCCAGGTAAGTTACGGGCTCACCATAGCCCGTGCTGCTTGGAACTTGTTCCGAGTAGCTGAATCTATAAGAACAACAACATACTAGCTTGCACCACAGCAGCCGACCAATAAGCATGCAGAGCAAGATTACCCAGTCACCTGACTGGATGGCGTCTCACCTCTTCTCATCCTGTACGGAATATATACAGTACTATCACCTCTACAATTTGTGTTTATTTTCCTCTGCCTTCGAAGAAACTGGAAAGTACTTCAGCGAAGCGCATCCGTTAACGACACACGTCAGGCCCTTTAAAATTAATTTTGTCCTAGTCTTGTATAATATATATAGTGTATTATTAAATACGAAAGTACTTAAGGAAATTCCTGTTTCAATTCTTCCTTCGTGGTCTGACACTCACATTTTTCATCACGTGTTAATTTTCGTTATAACACACTTGCATAAATGCGTAGTTTATATGTATCACCAAGAGCTTTTCTTCTGTGAAGGATTCGAACCTTAGAAAGCCAGATACATCACGCACACTGACATAACCAGTATGGTAACACCATGACAGATTGTTAAAAGGATTGAAAGTCAGGAGGTCTTTTCCCAACATTTTAACCCCCAATAACACTAGTCAAATTTAGTCAAATTTGTATCACTGGTCAAAAAACTAGTCAACAAATTTAATAGCTTCTTTTCATCGGTTGGTGCTAACCTCGCTAGAAAAATCCCACAGACTCAGACACATATTAACACATATCTCTCAGACAGTTATCCAAACTCTCTTCTCCTTTCACCAGTCAGCCCGACAGATGTTGTGTCCATCATACACTCACTAAAAACAAAAGCTGGGAACACCAGTGAAGTGCCATCCATGGTATACAAGAGTACCTAACACGCCCTTGCGCCACCCATAGCTCAGCTGTTCAACAAATCCCTAGAGTGTCATACCTTCCCTGATATCCTTAAAAAAGCACGAGTAACGCCAGTTCATAAAGGAGGCAATCCGGCAGACATAAACAAATACAGACCAATATTAAATCTACCCATATTATCAAAAATATTTGAAAAAATTATCTACAAACAGCTCTACTCCTATCTCGTAAAATTCGACATACTCAGCCCCTGTCAGTTTGGCTTCCGCTCCCAAAAGAGTACCAACGACGCAAATTATTAGTCTCCTTGATATAATCTACTCAGCTCTTGACAAAAATGAGTTTCCAATTGAACTTTTCATTGACCTGAGAAAGGCCTTTGATACTGTTAATCACAACTACATCTTACTTAAACTCAACTATTATGGAATTCGAGGCTTTGCCCTGGACTATATCTGATCCTATCTTAGTGATAGACACCAATGTGTAGCCATGAATGATATAACCTCTCCCACTGTACCATTAACCGTAGGGGTGCCACAGGGCAGCATCTTAGGACCTCTCCTATTTCTTATACACATCAATGATCTGCCAAATGTCTCTAACATTCTTAAACCTATATTGTTTGCTGATGATACTACTCTCATCAACTAAGACCCCAACCCACACACATTAAATAATGTTGTGAATAATGAATTAAAAAAGTCCACTTATGGATGCCAACCAACAAACTCACACTAAACATAGAAAAGACCCATTACATCTTATTTGGAAGCAAATCAACAAATGCAATTCAGCTTCAGATAGACAATGTTAACATCAATAATAAAAATGATGGAAAGTTTATTGGCCTATTCCTAGACAAGAGACTCAACTTCAGCACCCACATACAACACATAACTAAGAAAGCCTCTAAAACAGTTGGTATAATCTCCAAAATCAGATATTATGTACCTAGCTCTGCTCTCCTCTCACTATATTATGCACTAATCTATCCCTATCTTAATTATTATATCTGTGCATGGGGTTCAACCACTGCAAACCACTTCAAGTCCATCATCACCCAGCAAAAGTCTGCCATCAGAATAATAACAAACTCTGCTTTCAGACAACACTCAGCCCCCTTGTTTAAATCCCTAAACATGCTAAACATAAACTCACTCCACACATTCTCTTGTGTCAATTACATTTACAAAACCCTGTTCTTAAATGCAAACCCTGCTCTGAAACTCTCCCTGGACAGATGTAATAGGACCCATTATCACCACACCAGAAATAAATATCTCTTTGATATCCCCAGAGTCAAACTTAATCTGTGTAAACACTATGCAAATAAAGGGACGTGGTCTATGGAACTCACTCCCTAATGAATTGAAAAGCTGTCCAACTTTTGCCTCATTCAAAAACAAAACCAAAGAGTACATCTTCATAGTTTCCTGCCTTGTGCTTTAAACTTGCACTGTATCTAGTGCTACCCAATCCCTCCAATATTTATGTACCTAAGCCAAACAACTTTACCTTTATGATCATTGCTGTCGTCTTATATATGCTATCAATATGGTGTATTGTGCCTATTAATGTTTGTTAAATTATCAATCAAGCTGTCAGTGCTGTCAATAAGAGCTATCGATGTGCTTTAATATACCTACTAATCTCTCTCATTTTTTTCTTACAATGTACCTGTTAACATTTTATAAATTTTGCTAGAATTTACCTACTTAAAATTATCTGTAAGATTAAGGGCCTGCCCGAAACGCTGCGCGTACTAGTGGCTTTACAAGAACGTAAACACCATGCTATATTGCTATGTACCCTCACAAACCCAATGTACCTTCTTATATATAAATAAATAAGTAAATAAATAAATAAATAAATAAATAAAAGTGTTGTTGGGGAAATAAACTACTAGCAGTACACAATAAACTACTGCTCTCAGGATAAGTATAGAGGGCACAGTAAACTATCGCTATACAGGATGAGTTGCTACATAGTCTCCCTGGTTTTATGCCTTTTTTTAATAATTATTTACAGGATTAGTATGGGGTATACAATTAACTATTGTTCTTTGAATAAGTATGAAGTGCACAGTAAACTACCACTTACCGGATGAGTATATGTAGTGCACAGTGAACTACCACTCACAGGATTCATATGGGGTACACAATGAACTACCGTTCACAATGATGAGCATAAGGTGCACCGCATACCACATAGAGGGTGCACAATAAACAACCACCGCTCCATACGTTCATTGTGCATCAGACTAATTAGTCAATGGCTTTCCTTCATATGAGATAATCTTTAATCCATTTCTGAAAACTCCTCTTAACACCTATGCATATGCAAGTTCATCTATTATAGAAAACCGCAATCCCATGTACCTTATCCAAGGCAAAGTTTATTGATTTACTTGTATACAAGAAGGTACATTGGGCAGACAAATTACATACATTGGGGTTTGAGTATAACATTCTTGAAAAGCCACTAACGCGCATAGCGTTTCGAGCACGAAACGCTATGCGTGATTGATTAAGCACGTGATAGATTAATTACGTGAATGCGTGATTGCTAAATTGATATTAACAAACACAAAATTCTACTTACAGCTATAGTTAGGCTGTTATAGCTTATCCTTTTATCCCATTTTTTACATTCCTCCACTTAGTAACATATTTCCGCTATTCCTTTTATCCTTGTTTACTATAGGCTAATACAGTACATGGTTATTCAAATCAAGTATGGTGAGTCGCCTACCGGGTTCCGATAAATCCAATCACATCTAATCAAACCAAACCTTAATACCTATCCACACACCGAAACTACGACGTTGGTACAACGTTCGAACAAGTTTTAACACCTCCTAACCAGTTATAACAATCATTATAGCAAGTTGTAACAGCGTTCTAATACGCCATAAACACGTTAAGCCAAGATGTAACAACTTTATTACAAGTTGTAACAAGCGGAAAATAGAGACAGTTACGGTTTGTGTTTCCAGGGATCTAATGAAGTGCATGATCCTTAAAATGAAATAAGAAGACGATTAGTATAAACTCGGTAAAACTATGTGAAGCTTTAGTCTACCACGGTAATCGTACCTCAAGGAATCTTAAGAGTTAACTGAAGATAAAACCTGAGGGTTGAGGTACACGAGCCGTGAAAATAAAACGAAACTTTGATGTACAGTTCGATAGACCTATGAACACTGAACGTGTCTACCAAGGTAATTGTATACAAGTTCAAGTTCAAGTACGTTTATTGAGACAATAAAATATATCTCAAAGGAATAGAGTAGCTTAGACTATTTCTACTCTCCTGAAATTGTATACATTCTGCCCGAAACGCTATGCGTGTTAGTGGCTTTGCATGAATGTAAAAATACTAATCTAAAGTAATCTCACCAACACATTGTACCTTCGTGCAAATAAATTATTATTGTTATTATATTTACGCATTGCTTGCAAGGTACCTTCGCAGTTATAGGGAGATGAAACCTGAGAGATGAAATGAGAAGAGGCTTAAGACGCCAGTGACGGAGTGTTGGATGGCTCTAATGAGGCTCCGGCGACTAGCACTTGTTCATAGACGCCGAGAGTTGTCTCCGCTGCTCGCTGCATCATAAACACCGCGTGTGTACCTCCCTCGTGTGCTCACACTTGGGGTCGTTCGTTGTCGCCCCTCAACCAACAACACCAACACACTTGGGGTATTTCTCTTTTTATTCCTTCTCCCTGGAACTGTCTTGTGTCGGCGGCTGAGTTGCTGGGTCTGACTGCCATTACGTCCGCCGTAGAAGGTTGGTGAGACGGTATTACCTAGTGGTCGGGGTGGTTGCTGGAGGCTCACGCATCTCGCCTTCAATCTAGATAACAGTATTTTGTACGATATAGATTTTGCTTTATTTAGACAGGTGGTATAATAGTCATTTTCTGTTTTTTAGAAGCTCCTTGAAAGTGGGTAATATTTGAGCTCAGTCGTAGACAATTTTTATTGTATTTGGTTAGATGAATTGCCTGTGGTTCTTGCTGTGTTAATGTTTCAATATAGAGGAGCAGGTACTTATTTATATTCATTAGAAAAGTTAAGTGGGTATTGCTGTCATATGAAAAAGCCAAGTATGCAAATGTCAACAGCTGTCAACATAGTCGATCCTCAGTTACAAAAAATAGTTACAGCCCCACTCCTGTGCCAGGTAAGTCCATTACAGGCTCACCATAGTTCATGCTATTTGGAACTTTTTGTTCCCAGTAGCTGAATCTTAAACAACAACAAGAAGTTAAAACATATGGGCTCAATATAGCCTGTTCTACATTGACATTTTGTTCTGAGTAGCTCTAAATCTAAATACAACAACAACAGTTAAAATATGTGATTTCACAAACTTTGTTCATCAAATACATAGTGCACAAAAATGTTATATTGTTGTTAGGTGGGTTTAGTAAAATCATGTCCAGGGATTTTGACAAAGCTCATATTCTGTTAATATTGTGTATATCACTAGGTTAGGCTTCAGGCTGGGCTTGGGGAGTAGAACAACTCCCAGAACTCCATCAAGTAGGTATCAAGCAGGCTATGTTAGATTTGATGGGTTTTAAAATCTGTAGGTGAGCCATCTTGGGTACTATATTACTTGTATCTTTTTGATTAAGATAGAATAGATTTGTTTAAAAGAGTAATATTGACAAAGAATGACAACTTTTGACCATTTTCTAACCATACTCTACCTATGCGGACCCACACACAAGAGAAACTATTAGGAACTATTTCTCGAAAAGCCCGTATAAGATACAGGCTATAATATTTCTTAAGAAATATTTGTAAAATATAGTTATATAACAGTATTATTAAATTGTTTACAATAATTCTTTAACCCATATTTCTGTTTAAAAATGCACAAAGTTAAAAACTATAAAATTTGACAATAAATAGCATAAACAGAATAACCTTCACAGCCTAATTGGGTACACTTGAGAACTTGAATGGGAACTTACTCGAGTTAGTGTAACTTATCAGTGTTATACCATGCAGCAGTTCCTTAATTTAATAATGATTGTTTCTCGAAAACACTGCAAATTGAATTTTAATGGTTATTGTTATGTGAAAAATAGGGTTGTTCTCTGAAAATTGATTTTTTTTGCACTTCTCTCAATAAAGCACATGTTTGAGCATACCCATATTACTAAATATTCCCACCACTTTCCAGGAACAAATTAAATAATGAAATGCACAATATCTAGGAGGTGCCATGATGCAAGAACATAATCGAGTTCATAAAACACAAAGGAATCACAAAGTTTAAATGTAGTGTGTGTGTGTGTGTGTGTGTGTGTGTGTGTGTGTGTGTGTGTGTGTGTGTGTGTGTGTGTGTGTGTGTGTGTGTGTGTGTGAACATGAGCTGCAGGTCATCTGATAACCCGCACTATACCTCACGTAAAGTGAAAAACACCCAACACGTTGAATGAAAATTGGATTAAAACAAAAAATCTATTTGAAATTGCATTATCCATCACTGTGCAAAAATTGGGCTTTTAATGTTGTTCAGTAGAGTATTGTATGTACATGTTGTATCATTTTTAATAGCAATAAAATATTTGGTAAGAATTCAGTATATTTTGCAGGCAGAGACTTTAGGTTAGCAAACAATGCTACAGGTTATATTAGTTATTCGTCTTGATATTTGCTGCCGCTTATATTATTTGGTTTAATCTTTGGTTAAAATAGATTGCCTATAGTTATAATGTTGCATTCGCCTACTAGCTAGTTCCATTTTGTTATCATTTCTAGCCTATTATAATTATGTTTTCTCATAGCTAGGCGAAAAATAACCTACTACACCTAACAAAATTTTATTATATAAAACAATTTTAATTTATTTTAATTGTAGTACTGTAGCATATGGTTCTGTTATTAGTATTTTTTTTAATGTACACAACTATTTTCACAGGCAATGATATCATCAAAACTCTTAAGCTTCTCACCAACTGGTGAGAAGCTTGCACACAGTGGCCCAGATGGGATCTTAAGGATCTGGAATACAATCTCCGGAATTTTAGAGCACGAGTACAAGCCAGCCGAGCATCTCACAGCCACCATTTCATGTATCCAGTATTCTCCCCAGGTATAATTCTATTTTTTCCTTTTTGATAAGTCTGTACATAATAAATTTGAATTAAAATTAAATTAAATGTCTGCACTCCTAAGTAATTTATCAAAACCTGCAAGACGGAAAAATAATTTTTTTTTTTTTTAATAAAAATATTTGTACAACTAATATAGGAAATTGGATGAGTGGAAAATAGCTGAATGTAGTATAATACAGTATGCACATTTTGTAAAAAAAATAAATTGAAATATAAATATATAAAAAGACTGTTGATTAAACGACGATTCTTCTGGAGACATATGCAGGAAGTGTTTTGCTGGCTCCCTTGTGGATGGTTCAGGCATGGTTTACTGGCATATCTCATCTGTTGTCCTTCCACATCCACCTACCTTGATGGTTCTAGGCTCTCTGCTGATCTTCACATAAGGAGTTTCTAGGTCTTGCGCACTGACACTTGTATGGTTGTCAGGTGATGAACCTTTCGGTGTCGCACATGATGTAGCTTAGCTGGCGTTTCTCCTTTGTCTCTCTGTCATCCATCCTCTGGTGTGTGTTGGTTTCTGTAGTTATGTCTTTTCTGGCTAGGATCTTCTTGGATAATCAGTTGATGTCTAACATTGATTTAATTAAAATATGTGCTAAGCTAAGCATATTCTGTCTTGGCAGTAATACTGTAATGATAGTATCATGATAATCATTACAGTATCATGATAATCATGATACTGTAATGTGTCTGTAATGCAGCAAAGATAGTAATTATTGCTTGAATAACAGCCAAGGTTGTTCTCAGTTGAACAGAGGCTTGGAATGAATCAATCTTTTGAACCATATTTAAATGTATAAACTGCACAAATTTGTTCGCTAAAATTTTTTAGGTTTTTTCAATATATAAATATATATTTAACTGCATAATTGTTCTCATTTTTGTAGTCTAGAAATTTGTGTAAAAGTCTACAAAACAATGTTTAACTTGTACGTGTTTTATCCATTCAGACAAAGATAAACATGAAAAAGAAGAAAACAGTGAAAAAGAAAACGGGGAAGAAGAAAACTTTAGAAGCTGATGAAGAAGCTAGTCTCTTAGCCCTTGGAACACAAGCTGGAATTCTCCACCTCTACTGCCCTGAAAAGAGAGAGATTGTTGCTACTCTGGATCATGCTGCACCCCATGCGCTGTTAGACGTTGTCTGGTTCAGCACTGAAAGGCTCTTCTCTTTAGCAGCCAATAATACCCTAGTAGAATGGAATATACCTTCAGGAGAAAAACTAGTGTATGTATGATTTTTTTTATAAATTTGCTGTATTCATGAATCCTAAAATTTGTCTTTGTATTATAATTAGGCTAGATATCGCTATTACTGCTGCTTGCTACTGCTTGTTGCTGCTAATGCAAATGTTACTTCAGTTATTATACCTGGAGCATACCTGGAGAGGGTCTCAGGAGTTCTTCTACTCCTGAGCCCGGCCTTCAACTTTTGATAACTTTGTCCAACAGGCTGTTGCTTGTTTTTCACAATCTGCATATATGTCTGGTAGCTTTTCTGTGAATGCTAACCTATATATTTCAGGAATGTTATTCATTAGTTTAGTTATGTTTTCCCATATCGGTCTGTCATTTTGATAAATCCAGTATGTACCTTTTCTGTTTGCATAGTGTGTAGTTAATTCTGTACAGCTCAAATAAAATCTTATGTTACGGATGTAACAATACAATCCCTGCAACACTCCTTCTAAGCGTCTTAAAATAATTGTCATGCCTCTTTTTTTTTTTCTTTTTTTTTATATATATATACCTTCGTTTGATGTAGAGGGTTTCATTATTATTACTATTGTTATACTGTATTATTACTATTGCTACTTACAGTACCAGTACTACCAATGTTGCTACTACTAGTACTTATTCTTACAGATCTGTGGATGTGAAAGGCGGAAGCACTGTTTGTGTATTAAATGGGAAAACAGTTTGTGTGGCTAAACGTGAAATTGAAGTTTTACACATATTTAGAAAAAGTGGTGATGCTAAATTGAAGACTACATACACAGGCCACAGTTCCTTAGTGATGCAGCTCCTACCTCTTACAGTTTATGATGGACCCACAAGATACTTTCTCTCTTCATCACAAGATGACCGATTCATTTATGTCTGGTAAGTTTAGTATGTATCTGTGTGGTGGAGCATTTTCTGTATGAGAGATTATCTGTGCAGTTTGATAATAGTCTTTTAATACAGTATATCACCATTCCCTATGCTTTCCACATGGGATGCATTCAGGTAAAATCCTGGCATATGTGCATATTCACATAAAATGTGCATATTCACAAAAGGGAATTTGTGGTAAGTGGTACTGAATAACTAAAACTGCAGTACTAGGCTTAGTAGGTAAGATGTATTTTGCCTGATAGCCTGAGATTTTCTCTCATATCTTGAAAAAAATTCTTATGTTTTACAAAAACTAACAAATAATATAGATAAGATTAATTAAAAATTTTATTAGGTCTAGTTTTACTGTGGTAGCCATACTTGGAATAATAAGCATATTTAGGCTTAATCAGCTTGCTAAGTTAGTTTTGGGAATTCAGTTTGTTAGGCTAGGAGGTACAATAGTTATATGTATATGCATATTTCATGTATACTTTACCTGGATTTAAATTATGTGGTGTGTACATGTGGAAATGTTGTGGGTGTAGGAGTGGTTGGGAGAGCTGTGTGTGCAGCCTGTTCTCTCAATTTGTCACTCCATAAAATAAATTTAACTATTGTCTAACCAGAAACATAGCACTCAAAGCAAGCCACATAACTTACTGCATACAAAACTTCAGTATTACAGTGCTTATAATTTTTACTAATATGTTATATTTTTAATGGATTGGGTAATTCCCTAAAAAATTTATATATTTGGTGAGAGGATGGGATTGGATGGATAGGGATAGCTGTGAGTGGTTGTTAGTGGTATGTGAGTGATACTGTGCTATTGGGTGGGTAGTAATGAATTTGGTATTGAATTGGTTGGTGTGATGAGGGAAGTGAGTGAAGTTGTGTTGCCACTAACCTTTAAAGTGACTTGCAATAATCATGTCTCACCGACTTCTTTTTCCCCAGCAATGGAATGGCTGAGGGTATAGTGATTTGAGATTTAAATAAGTCTATAGTAATTTCTACTAACATGAACTATGACAATCATTTGACATTATTTTAAAGAAAACCTGCTTACCTGGTTGATGGGGTTGTGGGAGTTGTTCTACTCCCCAAGCCCGGCCTGAGGCCAGGCTTGACTTCTGAGAGTTTGGTCCACTAGGCTGTTGCTTGGAGCGGCCCGCTATCTAGTTTACTCCTGATGTCCACAGTTGTTCCGGCAATATTTCTTATGCTCGCTGGGAGGAAGTTGAACAACTGTGGACCTCTGATGTTTATACAGTGTTCTCTGATTGTGCCTATGGCACCCCTGCTCTTCACTGGTTCTATTCGCATTTTCTTCCATATCGTTCACTCCAGTATGTTGTTATTTTATGGCGCAGATTTTGGACCTGGCCCTCCAGTATTTTCCATGTGTATATTATTTGATATCTCTCCCGTCGTCTTTCTAGCGAGTTCATTTAGAGAGCTTTGAGACGATCCCAATAATTTAGATGCTTTATCGTGTCTATGTATGCTGTATATGTTCTCTGTATTCCCTCTATTTCAGCAATCTCTCCTGCTCTGAACGGGGAAATGAGTACTGAGCAGTACTCAAAATGGGACAGCACAACTGATTTGAAGAGTACAACCATTGTGATGGGATCTCTGAATTTGAAAGTTCTCATAATCCATCCTATAATTTTTTTGGCTGCCACAATATTTGCTTGGTTATGCTCCCTAAACGGTCATCAGACATCGTTATTCCCAAATCCTTTACATGTTGTTTTCCTACTATGGGCAAATTTGACTGTGTTCTGTATCCTGTATTATGTTTAAGGTCCTCATTTTTACTGTATCTGAGTACAGTACAGGGGTACCTCAGTTTAAAGAGTTTAATCCGTTCCTGGAGACGGCTCGTATTCCGAAGCTAATTTCCCCATAAGAAATAATGGGAAATGAATTAATCCGTTCACCTGACTACCCCAAAAACCCCACATCAAACTAAATTTTTATACCTAATTCATGTAAATAAACCTACAAAACTATGTTCAAGGTATTACTTACCTTGCTGTTGAATGCTGTAGGCGTATGGAAGATGGTGAGGAGGGGGAAGGAGGAGAGGTGTTACTGTTTGGAAGGGGAGTCCCCTTCCATTATCACATCAGGCAGTGAGGACTTCACTGGTGAGCACACTTTGGCACATTTTGCCTGCATACCACTAGGACTTGTTTGTCTTACTAAGAATCTGTCTAAAGACACTTGTTTTTCCCTACATTTTAACACTTGTCTGTAGTAAGATATCACATTGTCATTTAAAAGGTCAATGCAACGGCCTGCTACAGCTTTATCTGGGCGAGTTTTTTCAACAGAACTTTGCAGTTCTTCCCATACTTCACACATTTTCTTAATCAAGAAGGGACATCCTCTACTGCCTCTACTCACAGCTATTTTCTTAGGTTGAACCTTATCAATGGCTTTCTTGAGACCCATGACGAGATATTAATATAATAACAACTTTTATGCTCAAATGGCCAAAAAACTGACATAAAACTGTAAATCCTTGTGAAGAATTCAGGAGGGATAGTCACTGGGCGGGAGACAATGGTAAACTGAGGGGCGGAGGGGCGACGATCGCCGTACCACCACGCGCTAAGCCGGCCTGAACGCGTATCAACAAACTCGCGTTCCGAGGTAACCCTCGCCTTCGGAGACACATTTTCCGAGGAAATCCGGCTCGTATCCCGAAAAACTCGCATACAGGGACACTCGTGTTCCAAGGTACTACTGTACCTGGAATTTATCGCTGTTAAACATCATGTCATTTTCTGCTGCCCAATCGAAAACTTTATCAATATCTGCTTGTAGGTTTTCAATGTCTTCAGCAGAGGTAATTTTCATGCTGATTTTTGTGTCATCTTTAAAGGATGATACAAAGCTGTGCCTTGTATTTGAGTCTATATCTGATTTGAGAATAAGGAAACGCAGGGGTGCAAGGACTGTACCTTGAGGTACCGAGCTTTTAACTGCGCTTAGACTCGATTTTGTATGGTTGACTGTTACTCTTTGTGTTCTGTTCGACAGAAAACTGAGTATCCAGCGTCCAACTTTACCAGTAATTCCCATTGACCTCATTTTGTGTGCTATCACTCCATGGTCACATTTATCGAATGCCTTTGCAAAATACATGTATACCACATTTGCATTCTCTTTTTCTTTTAATGCCTCAGTGATTTTGTTGTAGTGGTCAAGGAGCTGTGAGAGGCATGATCTTCCTGCTCTGAATCCATGTTGGCCTGGATTGTGGAGGTCATTGGTTCCATGAATCTAGTGACCTGACTCCTGATCACTCTCTCAAATACTTTTATTATGTGGGATGTTAGTGCAACTGGTCTATAATTCTTTACCAATGCTTTGCTCCCTCCCTTGTGTAGAGGGGCTATGTCTGCTGCTTTAAGCGCATCTGGTATCTCTCCAGTGATATCTCCAAGCTCTTCCTCCACACTATACTGAGTGCCTGTGCTACCGGCACTTCATTTCTTTATAAATATTGAATTCTACTAGTCTGGACCCGGGGCTGAGTGCATTGGCATATTGTCAATTTCTCTTTCAAAATCTGTCATGCTCATGATGATATCAGTTATATTTATAGGGCTTTGAATGTCACACATAAAGAAGTTGTCCAGATCTTCCCCTTTTATGCTGTTTGTCAGAGTGCTAATCATGTCCTCATACTGCATTTTTAGGATTTCACTAATTTCTTTGTCATCCTCACTGTATGAACCTTCACTAGTACGAATAGGTCCAATACTGGCAGTGGTTTTTGCTTTTGATTTAGCATATGTGAAGAAATATTTTGGGTTTTTCTTTATTTCTTGAATTGCTTTCTGTTTTTGTTGCCTTTCTTCAATCTGATATGAATGCTTCAGTCTCTGTTCGATTTCTTCAAACTCCCTGTTTAAATTATTCATTCTTCGTATGGCAAGTTGTGTCTGCTTTAGCATTTCCGTTAATTTTTTTCCTTCTTTTGTAGTGTCGTCTGCGTTCTCTTTCAACGTTGGATCTCTTTCTGGTTTTCCTTCAAAGGAACATGTTTCAGACAGACTTCATATGCTTCAGAAGTCAGTTTTTCTATTCCTTGTGTAGGATTTTTATTACTTAGAACGTTTTCCCATTGAATGTTTGTGAGTACCCTGTTTATTTTCTTCCAGTCTATCCTTTTATTATTAAAATTGAATTAGAAAGAAAGAAAGAAAGAAAGAAAGAAACATTAGAAAGAACTTTTTCAGTGTCAGTAGTTAACGGATGGAATCCATTAGGCAGTGATGTGGTGGAGGCTGACTCCATACACAGTTTCAAATGTAGATATAATAGAGCCCAGTAGGCTCAGGAATCTGTACATCAGTTGATTGACAGATGAGAGGCGGGACCAAAGAGCCAGAGCTCAACCCCCGCAAGGACAATTAGGGGAGTACGTGGAATTCTGGACACTGAAGGTTGTAAAATTTTTTGTCTAATTGAAAATTTACATAGTTTAGGGGTGGAAGTATCTGCACTCCGTTCCAAAGCGCTAACATGTTCCTGCATTTTCGAGGATGCAGAAAAGTGCATTTTGCACCTAATTTCCCATATTTGCATATTCCTCGTGCATAGAATTTGCAAATTCCATATTAACACTTTCGCGCTATCTGGACGCGCCGGCGCGTCCCGTTTCGTCTAACGCTAACGCATAGTGGACATAAAGTTGAGTCCTCTTTTAAAATATTTGTATAAAATTCAATTTTTATCCGATTTACTTTGGGTTTGTTTCAAACTGCGCGCTATGAGGCTCTCTTTCTCACCACTAGGCTGCATGGTACAATAAGTTCATGAAAGGTGTGGATAACTTCGATCAAATGGTATTTTGTCCCAAACGGGTTGCAGGTGGGTGACTTTAGCCGTTTATACTGGTAATGCTTCCCCCATATCATGTATTATATGCATATGTCTGTTTAGGGAATTTTATTCCGATCAATATACAACCAAAAATAACTGTGTGCAACAAGTATAAACTTGACAAACATAACAAAAGTAAAAACATTTCGTGTGTGTTTGACGCTCACTGATATGTTCCAGCGTTGTTTTATATTTGGCGCTATTCTAACTTACGCTTTGTTGATATTTTTTACCTATGGGCACATAGAACATTCTATTGCGAACACATTGACACAAAAATGAATGACGTACATAGAAAATTAATGTCATGAGAGTGAAATAAGTATAAACTTTCAAAGCGCCGTGCGTCGTCCCGTCACCGATACCGGGTAACAATTTCACCACTTCCCACACTCTTGCGGGCGGGCCGCATCATTATTCTACGCTTATATTCATATCACCGTGTTGGGAATTTCATTGCGAGTCCATTGATACCAAAATTAACGCTGTAGAATAAGTGTGGAGGTGATTACAATCCCAAGAGTAAAAACATTTTGTTGCTGATGGGCGCTCACGGCGAGTCATCTTCGTAGTTATTTATTTGGTGCTGGTATCCCTATACGTTTCGTGACTTTTTTTACTGATGTTCTTCTAGAGAATTTTATTGCGAACACGTTGGTACCAAAATGAAATACGTAGCATGAGAACTAAGGTCAGAAGAGTAAAAAGAGTATACACATTTTTGTTTTTACGCTTAAGCGATAAAAACGCTGCGCGCACATTCGGTTGGCTGAGTGACCTTTGCGGAAAGCGCGAAAGTGTTAACTTACAGATGCAACACTTGATGCCTGCAGTATGTCTTTTAAATTTTTCAAAACACTCTCCACACACCTCCATTGTCTGATGTATTGTATTTGTGCTTCACTGTATGGATCACTTGTTGACTTAAGTAATTTTACTATTTATAATATTATATGTATATATAATACTTGGGGTTTTGTTTGGTAGGTGAGGGAATGAGTGGGTGTTATGGTGCATGGGCATGTGTGGGAGTGGCTGTTAGATCAGTTTGAAATTCTGAGGAGGAAGCCAAATAATGATTGTTTTTACACTAGTGGGCAGGTGAGCATGCCACGAGTGTGTATTATATAATAACTGCATGCACAACTTTGTATGTAAATGTTTTAGCTTGACATTTTCTGTTCTATATGATGAATATGATGAGAGCATTTTTGCTAATTATAAAGTAAAACAAACTGGAACAACATAGATCAATCAGAAAACAATTCAAATCATTGTTTAAAAAAATGACAAACATTTGTTTCATGCAGGGTATAATTTCATGTCATCATAAATTCTTCCTACACACTTTTCTGGTGTTTTGTTTGGTATCATTGTTTCATAATCAACTGTATATCTATGTTTTGAGATTATTTTTGCATATTATGCTATCAGTAGAGGATGTGCCTTTTCAGGATTAATATCACATTTAAAACAGTTTTAAATATTAAAATTACATTTAAGGCAGATTACAGCTCTTGCTTGCAGTTTCACCAGGTTCCTTATATGATAGTTCCTATATGTATGATAGTTTCCTATGTGATAGTTAGTTTCAAAGTACATTCTCATCAAATAAATGTCTCTCTAGAAGCAGGCTTCAGATGAGCTGAGGTAGAATAACAGCTCTTGCTTGCAGTTACACTAGGTACAACATTTGATAGCCCTTATGAACCCTAATCTTAGTTTAAAAAAACAAAAATAATTAAAAAAAATTTTTTACAATGTTATAATTAACATGTAATGTACATATTCCTGCAAATCTTAACAGGGATTTGTCAAGTGAGAATAATGAACCTGCTGGCAGTTTTATGGTAAAAGAAGTCATAAGTACAGTAGCGGTATCACAATTCAAAGAAGACACTGTAACGCTCGCTGCAACTACACGAACTGGCACCCTTGTTCTCTTTACACAGCACCTCAATGGGTAAGTTCAACTTCTGATAATTTGCACACATGGGAACTTACACCTATTATTCAGTTTTATGGATTTTTCCCCGTATATTACAATTTGTTTTTACATGAAGTGTGTGCAACTGCACAAACTGGTAGATGAATGAGAGAAACAACAGCTTGTTGGAAGGAGGTAGTAACAAAAACAGTTAATGATAACAAAAATAAGTGGATTTTCTGGGGGAGCCCTGTCGGCTCCCCGGAGCTATCCAGGCTGATATGGATATGTATAACTTTCTGGCACCCAGAAAGATAGGCGCCCCAAAACAAACCCTTATTCTGGTAAAAATATTGCTACCGAAAGCCGAATGAGTGGACAGAATTCCCCAACGAAAATTAGTAAATGAGTATGAGGTCATTACTTTGCCACGCCGCTGTCTGCACAAATCCCTGGAAGGGGGAGCCCCAGACCCCTAAGCTGGTGATCCAACCAGCAGTTCTTGGCTGATGTGCTCCTGGTGTAGTCTTGTGCCTCTGGCTCCTGCATTTTGTCTCAGTTCTGTGCCTTGTGGCGTGGTCTGTCTCTACAGATGGTGTGTGTGTGTGCCAGGAGTAATATTCTGTGGTGCTCGGGCTGCATGCGCCTAGGATTTCCTTCCCTAGGTGCCCAGTAAGTACTGCCCTTGCGGCTTGGGGTTACCTTCCACAAGTCATCTTGGAGTCTACCTTCTGCTGTGTATTTTACTGCTCGGTACTTGGCCGCCCTTGGAGTCAGCTGGGGATCTTTGTTGCCCTTGTTTGCCTCTGGGTAGGAGGTAGTTTTCATCACTGTTAGGGGCACAGGGTACTGCACAGCTTATCACCTATATAGCAGCTGGCTCTGTTCCGCCTGGGGTACGTTGTCCTCTTGCAGGGTTTTTCTTTTGTTTTTGTTTTCCTGCCAGGTGGGCAGTCTGTCTTTGGTTAGTTACCCCTCCTCTTCATATTAGGGTCCTTCTCTTATATATATCTGTTTTTGGTAGTACCCCCTGCTTGGTCCCCATCAGTGGACACGTCCCAGGGGTTCTGCTTTAGAAGTTTGTTTGTTAGTTTTGGGCGCCGGTTCGCAGTGACCTGCCTGGGTTTCCCTTAGCGTGTTACCAAGGCTAAGAGCCCTGGGAAACCCTGCAGGGGCTAGGTAGTCCGATGGATGAGACCCCTGAGTCCCCTCTCGTTTCGTGCGAGGTTGTCCCCCCCCCTTCTCTCCGGGTGACAATCACCGGGTGTGCCAATGCCATGCTGCCTGTCGGGTCGGTGATTCTTTTGACCTGGAGTCGTGTGGCGTTTGTTGTTTGAATGTGCTCCAGTTCACCCAAGCTACTGAACATGATATGAGGGTGCAGGCAGTTGCTGAGTTGCATGCTAGGTTCAGGATGCTGCAATGGGATATGTTGGTTGCTTCCCCGGATGCCCCGAAACTTCCCCATTTTGGTTATAGGGACCCAGACTTGGGGGTGGGAGTCGTTTCGACTTTGGTTCCATCCACCCCTCCTTGTCTTTCCTCTTCAGTGGTTCATTTGGTCCCCCCCCCCCTTCCCCTCCTTGCTGCGGGCTCCGAAACGTCTGAGGGTTTCGGAGTCGGGGCAGTGTTTAGTTTGTGTTGAGAGACTGGCGGTCTCGGGGAAGTCCCCTTCCGGGGTGGCTTCGGAGGTATTCAATTCTAGTCATCCACCCGGAGCTTCTGGGTCTGACCAGTGGGCCCCCTTCGTTCCTTCCCACAGAAAAGGGGCTCCCTACAGAAAACCAATGTAGAATGTAATGAAATGCCATTACCTGGGTGAGCCCTTGGAGCCCGCTTGGCACCCTTCCTCCCTCCGGTTGGCGGTTTTGTTTTTGATGCTCAGCCTCCGAACTGTGGTGTGGGTAGCCAGCACGAGGGTCCAGAGCTCCCCCGTGCCCCTCCTGAGGGGAAGGGAGCTGCGCGAACAAGCGCCACAGCGGTGGTGGATGACGTTTGCTTGTTTTCTTGTTTCTTTTGGGGAGTTCTGTTTCTCTGTTCGGTCTTTTTTTTTTTTGCCATTTCCTACCAAGTAGGGGTTGTTTTGAGATGCCTAACCCCGGTCAATGGCAGACATGGAATATCTCCAAATACAATGGGGTTTCCTTAGGCCATTGCTCCCTTCACCTTTTTGAGGGGGGCCATGTCCTGGCTAGTGGTCCCCGTTAGGCAGAACAACATTGACTGAAGCCCCAGCCTATTTAGTGGGTTTGGACATATCCCAGATTATATAATCTTTTGCATGTCATGGTCCATAGGTTAATGCGTATGCCTGAGGACTACCTAGGATGCTGGTTTAATCCCCGTCTTGTTGCAATGATATTCTCAGATATATCACATTATTGTGATTTCCTTGTGTTTAAAAATTTTCAGATTTCAAGGTTTTATAGGTTTTCTATAGTTGGATCATTGCATTCTGGGAGGGGCCCCCCTTTACTAACTTCCCAAGCTATTGCACAAGGACTTATTTCAAGCCTTATGAAATCCCACTAGGTTTCTGAAACCCACCTGAACCAGAAGAGGGTTTCACTCTGGCTCTCTGTACAAGGCAAGAGGAGCTTGGTAATCAGAGATCAACCCAAAAACTGACAGTTAAATATAAGTCATATGAACTCTTGAAGACCAAATAATTAAAATACTGAATGAATACTAGTTGTCTTAATTCACAGCATCAGTGACCTTGTTGCAACAACAGAGATCATTTTATTTTCCTTAATTCACAATTACCATTATCAAAAGTTTGTTAATGGAGAAATATTAACCCATTATTATTACTGTCAACCACCAGTAAAGTGGAAAGAAAACGTGGAGAAAGACTACACATTGGATAAGTTACGTGAAAACATTAAGGTTATGTCTTTGTGGCCTGCTTTCTTTGTGACAAGTTCCCATTGAAAATACTGAATCTGTAAATTGTGGAACATACTTCCTGCATAGACTTAGTCAAACATTTTAACCCACAGATCATCCTAAATCACAACTCTATTTGCTCTTGCTAGAATGTTGGCAAAAATATAATTAATTCTTAATGCACAGAGACTACTGTATACAAAATGACTTACCACATCAGGAGAATGCTGCAGATGGTACAGGATGAATTCAAACAAACTTAATAGTACCATAAAAACAATCAAAGAAAAGTGTATTAACTGGTTTAACCACTGAATTGCTCTGCATTAAAATATGACACACCTGTGGTGCACCGAAAATAAATTCTTTCCAAAAAATTATTTTCTCTTATATTGTTAAAATGCAGTCTCTAATCATGGGAAATTAATAAAAAATATTGTATGTGACATATTTTAGCCGTGATTGAGCTTGGAAGTTGAGCAAATTATGGGTGCTAAGTGATGGAGCGCTCGGGGTCAGTCGGCCCTGCCACCCGGCCGACTGCCAGTCGGCCACAACTGCCGACCCCATGGGTCGGCAGTTGCTGCAAATATAATGTTTCACAATTATTTTGGTATTTCTCATTCGTTTCTTCTCTGTTTTTTTGCTGTAATATTATTCAAAAGTGTGTAATGTGTGGAATATATATAGTTCAAAATGTGGAACATTGCTATGCTCAAAATTATGGGGTTCATATACTGTATGTGACATGTATATATTATAATCTACGATCAGTCTAACAGTGTTTTTGCTGTTATTACACTATATACACACACATTGTATATTCCTATCTACATGTGTGTTCATCATAACAAACCACTAAGTTGGTATGGTGAGCCCAAAAAAACAAGAGTGAGCTGCCACACTCAGCCAGCCCTCCCTCACTCCTCCAACACTTTACTCGCCAACATTCCTCCTCCCACCATACTGTTATTGTTTTTATTACACTATTTACACACGTTATGTATAAGTATCTACATGTTTTATGCACCATAACTATACAACTAAACTGGTATTGTGTCCAAACAGCACAGTGGCCACTGCATGACAAGGAACACAGCAGGCAACACTACGAGTACGATGCCACCTCCCTCACCAAAATGGCTCCTCCCAACATACTCCTGTTGCTGTTATTACACTATATACACACGTTATATATTAGTACTGTACTGTATCTACATTTGTGTTCATAGCGAACCACTAAGCTAGTATGACGAGTCCAAACATGAGTGGCTGCCATACACAGTGACGCTACCTCAATTTCTTCCCTCCTCACCAAAATTCCTCCTCACAACAATACTATGCACAGTGCTAATTATCACCACAGTCCTGCTATTCTCATGTAACACCTCCAGATTGCTACTCCCCTTTCTCACTTAAAACCCCAGCTTAACACTGCTTGCAAGCTCAATGTGACCCTCACTGAACTCCCAGCTAATGTGTTTAAATGAAATATTAAATGGAGAACACAAAATAAAGGGTTAAATTTAAATAATGAATAATAATTATACTTACGGCTGCCACCACCTTCCTGAACCTGAATATGCCTGCACTACTGATCTCCCAGGAAGGACAGAGATTAATAATCATGAACTCAAAGGGCTTAGGAATCTTGACGAAAATGCTTGGGAATTATTTATAGAAATCTTGACTTTACTTATTTAGATTCAAGGTAACTTTAATATCCCTAAAATGGGGGAGAACGCAGGGAACTTCCAAACTAGCATGAAAACAAACCATATAATGACTGAATTAATAAAAAGGAGGGACAAATATCTAAATAACAAAATACATTAATAAGCTCTTTATTTAACAAAAGACACGTTTATTTATATCCTAGATGTAATTAAGTCATACGAGACAATGGTATGAAAACTGAACATGAGTACTCAAGCGCACATTATCTTATCCTGCAATTACCGGCCACAGATATTGAATGGCTGCTCTCCCCTCCCCTGGTCCTTGGATGTGTCCCAAGTCACACCGACTAAAATTTCCTTTGACTACTCCTGGGAGGCCTATGGTTTTCCCCGCGAGCTTGGCTCTGGGCTCGGAGTGTCAATCAATTCAAACCAAAACTGGATGGTATCAACCAGGATGCCCTGGTCCCTTGGCCAATGGGTGTCCGGCACTACCCTGGGGGACTCTACCTCTCAGACTTTGTCCAGTCACTTGAGCCCCCAGGCCTAGTACCCTGGCACCACTACCCAATGAAACAAAAGCCTCTGCTCTTGGCCAATGAAATGCCCAACAACTGCCTGGAGGCAATCTTCTTAAGGAATCTTGGAAATAAGCAGTTATAACCAGATTCATGTGAACAAGCTTCGTATGACCAGCCACCCAAGAGAAATTTGACAATAAGGTTTTATGGCACTTAGTTTTATTGGCCCCATCTTGCCCACGGCTGTAGAGGAGGCAGGGAAGAGGGGAAAGAGTGGGGTAGAGAGGGTAGAGTGGGGGAAAAGTGGGCAGGGATAGGGCCAAATGAGAGGAGAGCCGCCCAGCCACCAGTGGCCTCTTGACTTAGACAAATGGGCAGAGGGGAAAGGGGGAGGGGAGGGATGAACAGAGGGGGGAAGGGGGAAGGAGATTATGCTAGGTCTTGTGCAACCGTCCGTTACAATCAGAATCCTGGTCACTAAATCCTGTAAAGGAATAATTTACCACAAGTTTATTTTGTAAAGGAACATGAGAAGTCGTTTGAAGATTCCTAGATGGACGAAATAATGCTGTGGCTGGCACTGTGAACATCTTGAACAGCATTGATTCACTGATATTTGAACATTGTACACAGTCTGTATCACACTCAGACTCTTCTATAATACTATCATGGCTAAATAATACCAGCTACATATATATTTTGACATTATTAGGCAATGCTGTGGTCACAAGCTGAACAGCAGTGCTGTGAGCTCATGCTGTTTGCGCCAGCCTTGGTGGCTCACTCAGTACTGAGACTGGAATGTTGCCTACGATTTACAAAAAAAAAAGAAAATGGTGTCTGTTTACAAGAGCCCTGAGGAAGCTGATGTGAACCCGATGTAGCCACGGGAGTTTTGATTCATATGCTATACCTATGAGATCCCTGAGGCGCGTTGCTCACCATCCGTTGAGAGACTCAAGGCATGTTGCGCAGTGCAGTGGTTAAATATCCAAAACTAAAATCTTTATTAAGTAAATGTAAGAAATATAGTATTAATCAACAATCAATGTCATTACTAGTATGTACAGTGTTTCTGTATTGAAATTACTTGTTTAATTTTTTTTTAATATTTTCTTATGTTTGGTCATAAACATTTATTTATATGCAAGATAATCAGCAGACAATTTGAAAATCATTGCACTTTTGTATGTTCTAAGCTTTTATTTAAATCTTATGATATTTGATAGGGGGAGGGGCAAATGCTCAGTTGCAAGAATCATTTTAATAATTAAAATTCATATCTTATTTAATTTCATATGATGTTCCTACAGGAATTCAGGCAGGGCAGCAATTAAAAGTGTTGGAAAGTTGCGCATTGTTACTGAAGATAATACCCAAAAGACGACTATTCCAATAATATCATCCTTCTTTTGTAATGATGATTCATCTAGTATCATCATTGTTTATGGGCAGTCATTCATCCTCAAATTTGAAAAAATGGTAAGTGATAAATGCATTGTGACTGTATTTTGCAAATTGTTGATTATGTAAAAATATAAATTATATACACAACTAATTTTGAGTATCCTCTTCCCTGTTTTGTGTAGTTTTTCTTAATACTGTTCAATGCCATTACTTCCATTCTTAACACTATCGCGCGTGGCCGGATGGTGCGAGCGAGCGTGCGGCGGCGCCTAAATGTGTGTGCTCGTTTCAGTTTTCTCACCTTAATTCTTGTGCTACGTCGTTCGTTTTGGTATCATTGCGTTCGCAATTAAATTCTCTACAGGTGTATATGCATATAATGTCCAAAAGCCTGGTGAGACTCCCCGCAGCAAAGCCTAAATTTACCCGTGACCGAGCACCAATTTGCACACCACAACCTAATTTGTATACTCGTTCAGTTTGATAACATCAATTTTCATGTTACATCGCTCGTTTTGATATCAAATTATTCGCAATATAAAGGTGTGCGTTTTACAACTAGTCTCATACTAATAGAGCAATAACTGGAATTTTAACAAATTTTTAAATTTTTGACACTCATCATCACAATTATATCTTTCCAGTGTTCTGACATCAATTTTCGTATTACGTCGCTCGTTTTGGTATCAAATTGTTTGCAATTTAAAGGCGCGCATTTTAAAACTAGTTCCATAATAATAGCACAATAAATAGAATTTTAACAAATATTTTAAAATTTTAAATTTAGACCCAAAAACATATTTATGATCTTTCAAGTGTTCTGACATCAAGATTCGTGTTACATCTTTCATTTTGGTATCAAATTGTGCGCACTCTAAAGGCGTTTATTTTGAAACTATCCCGAGGTCAATCGGATAAAAAATTAATTTATACAAATATTTTTAGAGTGGACACAAGTCCTATCCACGGCTAGGACTCGAGAGAAAAAAAAATGGACGTGATCGGTGTCCAAAGCGAGTGATACTGTTAAAGTGTAATTAACTAAGTGTAGTTATTAGATGAGACCTACACAATGTTGTGTCCCATCTTCCTGGTACTGTACTCTGTTATGTGATGTCTTGAAACTACTGGCAGTTTTGGCATCTCCCTACCACCTCACTTAACTTATTCTTAATTGTCTACAATTCTGTTTGCAAAAGAGAACGTTCTAATATTTTTTGGCACCTTTGTTTCCTTAGTTTGACTCAGAGACCTTTTGTTCTTGAAGTTTCAGGTTTCATGAATTCCTCTTTGTCAATTGCTCCAGTTCCTGTTACTATTTTGCACGTAGTGATCATATTGCCTCTTTTTCTGGGGGTAGCCCCATTGGCTCCCTGAAGCTATCCAGGCTGAAATTGCTAATACTATATTAGACTTTGGCATCAGTGTGAATGGAGTTCTTAGGCCTAATGGGGACCACCAGCCAGAGCCTGGCCCCCTCAGAGAGGCACGAGGAGCAATGGCCTATAGAAACCCCCATGTGGTTGGAAGCATTCTATGACTGCTATCGACCGGGGCAGGCACCCAGAAAGGTAAGCATCCCAAAACAAACCCCCTATTCTCGTTAAGAAATTGCTACTGAATGCCGAACTAGTGGACACAACTGCCCAAATAAAAATGAGCAAACGAGCATGATGTCGCCGTGCCACCGTCTGTGCAGCTTCCCCTTCCCACTCCCGAGTAGGGGAAGTGGGAGCCCCAGACCCCAGTTCTGAGGCTGATGTGCTAGGCTGAAGTCGTGTGCTCTGACTCTGGATTTGTCTTCAGTGTGCCTCTGTGGTGTGGGGGCTGTCTTCTAGGCAGTGTGCGAGCTAGGAGTAATTCTTCAGTACTCGGGCTGCATGCGCCTAGAGCTATCTTCCCTAGGTGCCCGGTAAGTACTGCCCTTGCAGCCACCTTCCACAAGTTCCTTGGGTTCTGCCTCGTTGGCTGCTTGGCTTTCGGCCGCCCTTTGTGTGTTGGTGCATTTCTGGCACCCTAGTTCACCTTCGGGTAAGAGGTAGTTGCACTGGTTCTACTAGCTGCCCAGGGTACTGCGCAGCTAGTTGTCACCTATCATAGCAGCCGGCTCTGTTCTGCCTGGGTATGTTGTTCTCTTGCGTTTTTTTTTTTTTTTTATTTCCTACCTGGTGGGGGATGTTTTGTTTGGTTGCCCCATTGTATGTTTTGTTTGTTTCTGTGTTCTGGTGGTACCCCATGCTAGGTCCCTGTGAGTGTACACGTCCCAGGGGTTCAGTTAATTAAAAAGTTTGTTGGTAGACTTGGTGCTGGTTAGCAGTACCCTGCCTGGGCTTCCCTGAGCGTGAATTCCGTCTCGGAACCCTGTTAATCCCCGCAGGGGCGTGCAGGTCTGATGGATGTGACCCCTGAGTTCCCCTTCGCTTTGTGCGAGTTTGAGGGTTGCTCTGTCCTCTTGTCTCAGGGCAACACTAATTGTTTTTGCCTCCGTCATGCTGCCTGTTGGGTCGGTGACACCTGATGGCATTGTTCGGGTGCAGGTGGTTCAGGCTTTGCATGCTAGGTGTAGCTCCTTTTATCTCTTCAGTCAACGCCCTGTAGATACTGGGGGGTGTTCTGGATTATATATATGGGGCGGACACCTAGTTCTTTTCTATGCATACGGGTGTGTGGCGCCGCATCCACCTCTACACTACACCTCCTCTTCTCATCCTGCACTTGCGACTCTGGCCATATTCCAATAGCGATGTTCCTGGAATATTGCACAGCTAAGCTGTGTCGTGACACGATAGTGCCTATGCTCTACAGGAGTGTATACGGTCTGGTGACACTTTCGGCCAGGCACTGGTTCACAGATTTTGGACGAGTGTTGGGTATTGTTTGTGCCGTTTTGTTTGGCCCATTGCGTGCTGCTTAACGTGACCTTCCTATGTCTCTCTCTATTGTTATTTGTTACACGGTGAGGCACAGCCCCATATTTCGAGATCTTTCTTTAGTCTTTCAGTGCCTGGGTCTTTTCTTGCCTCTGGGTGCTCCTTCATTGACTCCTTCAATGCTATCTGGATACTCATTCATTGTGCAATGCCAGCTGAGCCCTTGTATGTACATTGGATTCTCTGTATGTGTAGTAGATCATGTCCATTATGTTCCCAATTGCTGCCTCAGTCTTCTTCGTTCCTCATATTGCTTCTACTCTCTTGTCCCTAGCTGCTGGTGATGTGACTGTCTTTAAGGTCTTTTCCTTGCATTTTCCGTATTTCTTATCTCTACTACGCATTGTTGTGTATTTTTGTATGTGCGTATTGTCTATACATTTGTGCTAGATTGGACTTTGTTCGTGTTCAATTCTCTGCTTTTGCACAGCCCCTGTTTTCAGTTATGGCCCTGAGTTCTCCTTGTATGTACCTACCAGCTTCTGGATTGCCCTGTATGCAGGTGGATGTAGATTCCGTTCATCTTCTCATGCTCCTACAGTTTCTTTTTGTTGGGACAGGAGGTGCTAGGTTTACGGCCTTGGCTCTGGCCTTTTTTTGTGTGTTCCCTTCCAGATGGTACATTTTTGTTTTCATGCAGTTCGTGTCCTGGTTAGTTCTCATACATTACTCGGTGTCTCGTGTATCGTTCTGCCCTGCTGGGGCTGGTTGTGCCGCTCCTGCAAGATGTGGTGTCACTGTTTTTCGCTTTGTGTCTCACGTTTCGGCTCATGGTGCTCGCTTCCTTGTTGGCCTTGGCCCTGGCTCTTAGGTTTTCATCACAATTTTGTCCTTGCTGTTTGCGGCGTCTGCGGTTCGGCGTTTTTCTGTTAGCGGCTTTTTGTTGTCATCTGTTGTCGGACTTGTTGGTCCTTCAGGGGTCTCGGGGGGGGGGGGGGGGGGGTTCCTCCTGGATGGGACGTGTGCTCGCCCGGGTTGGTTCTTTCCCGGCTCACCGGGTTTTGGTTCCTGGTTTCCTGCCTTACCCCACCAGTTGGCACGTTCCTGATCTCACGTTGACACTTCTCACGAGTCTTGCGACGGAACCACAGTATCTCCGATCACCTGACGAGCTCGCTAGCATTGGAAAGTTTTCTGTACGGCAGACGTTCCATCTTGTTCCTTGCCAGCCTTGGTTTCCAGTGCTGCTTGCTCGGTGTTCACACCCGGGTTTTTTCTGCGGCTCTGCCTCTTCCCACGCGGCTCCGTGCTTCGTCTCGGCAGCAGTATAAGGTTTTTTGGCGGTCCTTCCTCTTTCTTTTTGTCCTTTCGTAGGTATGCTTCGTTTTTGTTGGCATGGTCTTGTCTTTCTTTTGTGGAGGTTTAGGACCGTCATCTTGCCATATACCTGTACTGTTGTCTTGTCTCATGCGGCGTTGGTGGAGCTGCTCCGGTTTGCTTTCGGTTTTGGTGCTGCTTTCGGTTTTGGTGCTGCCTCTGCACCAATTCGCAAGCTGTCTCTGGCGTGGGTCACCTCCGGCCTGCTCATGCCCCACTTGAACCATTCTGGTTCTTGGATTGGGGTGCTCGCCTCTCCTCAGTTTGTTGTGACCCTTTCCTTTGGTTCTGGATTGTTTTCCGAGGCTCTTTACTTGTTTGCATTGGCCTTTGAGGGTCGGGTCAGGGTGCTTCATCTCTCTGGCGCAGGGGTTTCTGGTCTTTTGGTCCTTCGTGTTAGGATGTTCTCTTGCAGCTGTCTCCTTCTTTTCTGGCGAAGACTGTGGCGGCTGCTTTCCTGAGGGGTCCTTGGGTTGTTGCTTGGTTGGTCTGGCCGGGGGTGCATCATGTGTTGTGTTCAGTTGCAGCTCTCTGCTGTTCTTTGCGTGCCACGGCTTCCGTGACTGGCGACGCGCTTTGGGTTGCTCCGGTTTCCCTTCTTCCCTGTTCCAGGATGCGGTTCTATCAGATCATCCCCAGGGTGTTTCAGTCCAGCCAGCCTGAGGTCTATCACCGTGCCCACGACGTTCATACGTTTGCTGCGCTTGCTGCCATCTTCGAAAACATGGCTTGGACTGACATTCGGGCACGAGATTTTTGGCGGTCGGACAGGGTCCTGACTGCGCATTCCTTCGTTAATGTTCCTGGGCCTTGTCAGGCCTGTGTGGCCTTGGGTTGGTGATTGCAGCCTGTTGTCTTGGCTTTGCGTTGGGGAGCGAGCAATGGCCACCTCCCGGGTAAGTCCCTCTTGTTTTCGTCTTTTGGTAGGTTGCTCCGAGGTGCTAATGGGGCACCCTCCCCAGAAAACCAGCGCTGAATGTAATAAAATGCCATTTTCTAGGTGAGACCCAGAGGCTCCCAGCCAACCCTCCGTCCCTCCGGTCGGCAGTTTTTCGAGTGTTTTGATATCCAGCCTCAGAACTGGGGGTTTTGGGTAGCCAGTGCAAGGGATCTGGGGCTCCCACTTCCCCTCCCAGGGAGGGGGGAGCTCTGCAGACGCCAGCGCGGCGATGTGGTGACGTCATGCTCGTTTGCTCGCTTTTGTTTGGGGAGTTCTGTCCACTAGTTCTGCATTCAGTAGCAATTTCATAACCAGAATAGGGGTTTGTTTTGGAATGCTTATCTTTCAGGGTGCCTGCCCCAGTTGATGGCAGACATAGAATGCTTCCAACCACACAGAGGTTTCTATAGGCCATTGCTCCTCATGCCTCTCTGAGGGGGCCAGGTTCTGGCTCATGGTCCCCAGTAGGCCTAAGAAATCTATTCACACTGACTGATGCCAAAGTCTAATATTAGCAATATTAGCCTGGATAGCTCTGGAGAGCCTCCGGGTCTCGTCCAGAAAATGGCGTTTCATTACATTCAACGCTGGGTTTTTTTCCCCTTCTATCTTCTAACATTGGCATATTTAACACCTCTAGCTTCTCCTTGTAGCTATTGTTTTTCTATTCAAGAAGCCATTTAATATTTTTCAGTTTACTGATGTTTTTCTTGAAATATGAGCACATTCAACCACTGCATTTTCCAGTTTTCATCGTGCAGAAGTTGTGAACAATTTCCTTAACATTTTAACACCCATTTGCGTGTATTTATTTACTTTTTATATATGCATTATTGAGCTATTAGCTCTTGGACCCCGCATTTCTGACCAATTTATTTTCCTCTATGTCTACTACACACATTTCTCTTACACACGTGCATGCGCACACATCTCCAGGAAGCAACTCTTAGCAGCTGTCTAACTCCCAGGTACCTATTTACCACTAGGTGAACAGGGGCACCACGGTGAAAAACTACCCATTTGTTTTTACCTCTGTTGGGATCGAACCCAGGCCCTTAAGACTATGACGCCAGAACGCTGTCCACTCAGCCGCGAGGCTCCGTGTATTCACCTAGCTGTGTTTGCGGGGGATGAGCTTTTTTTTGCTCTTTCGGCCCGCCTCTCAACTGTCAATCAACTGTTTACTAACTACTTTTTTTTTTTTTTTTTTTTTTTTTTCTACACCACACACACACCCCAGGAAGCAGCCCGTGACAGCTGACTAACTCCCAGGTACCTATTTACTGCTAGGTAACAGGGGCATTCAGGGTGAAAGAAACTTTGCCCATTTGTTTCTGCCTCGTGCGGGAATCGAACCCGCGCCACAGAATTACGAATCCTGCGCGCTATCCACCAGGCTACGAGGCCCCTTTTAGGGCCTCGTAGCGTGTGTGTGTGTGTGTGTGTGTATGTAATTACCTAAGTGTAGTTACAGGATGAGAGCTACGCTCGTGGTGTCCCGTCTTCCCAGCACTCTTTGTCATATAAAACTTTGAAACTACTGATGGTTTTGGCCTCCACCACCTTCTCACCTAACTTGTGCAACTGTCTACCACTCTGTGGAAGTGAATTTTCTTATATTTTTTCGGCATCTTTGTTTAGTTAGTTTAAATCTATGACCTCTTGTTCTTGAAGTTCCAGGTCTCAGGAAATCTTCCCTATCAATTTTATCAATTCTTGTTACTATTTTGTACGTAGTGATCATATCGCCTCCTTTTCTTTATCTTCTAGTTTTGTCATATTTAATGCCTCTAACCTCTTCTTGTAGCTCTTGCCCTTCAGTTCTGGGAGCCACTGAGTAGCATATCTTTGCACCTTTTCCAGTTTGTTGATGTGCTGCTTAAGATATGGGCACCATACAACAGCTGCGTATTCTAGATTTAGCCTAACAAAAGTCGTGAACAATTTCTTTAGTATTTCACCATCCATATATTTAAAAGCAATTCTGAAGTTAGAAGGCATAGCATAGGCTCCTCGCACAACGTTCTTTATGTGATCCTCAGGTGATAGTTTTCTATCTAGAACCACCCCTAGATCTCTTTCTTTATCAGAAGTCTTTAAAAAGATATTCCACATAATTTATGGGGTCTATGTTCTCCTATTCCACATTCCATAACATGGCATTTATGCATATTAAATTCCATTAGCCAAGTGGTGCTCCATATACTTATTTTGTCCAGGTCTTCTTGAAGGGCATGACAATCATCTAAGTTTCTTATTTTTCCCTATTATCTTAGCATCATCAGCAAATATGTTCATATAATTCTGTATTCCATCTGGTAGATCGTTTATGTAGACAATGAACATTACAAGTGCAAGAACTGAACCCTGTGGTACCCTCTACTTGTGTATTTCCTCCAATCCGATACATTGCCTCTGATTACTACCCTCATTTTTCTATGTTAGAAAATTTTTCATCCATGTTAGAAGCTTACCTGTCACCCCTCCTATATGTTCAGTTTCCAGAACAACCTCTTGTGTGGAACTTTGTCAAAAGCCTTTTTTAGGTTCAGAATGATGCAGTCAACCCAACCATCTCTTTCCTGTAAAATATATGTGGCTCGATCATAGAAACCGAGTAAATTCTTTACACAGGATCTTCCAGATCGAAAACCATATTGTCTGTGTGATATTATATAGTTTTTCTCCAGGTGTTCTACCCATTTACTTTTAATTATTTTCTCAAATATTTTTACTATTACACTTGTCAATGATACAGGTCTATAATTAAGGGGGGTCTTCCCTGCTTCCACTCTTGTACATTGGAACTATGTTAGCCTTATTCCAGACATCTAAACAACTCCTGTACACAGGGATGCCTGAAAAATCAGTTTAACATGTTAATACAAGAATGTTTTCAGGATGAGGTCTACAAATCTACAGATCCAAAAGTCCTCTGTTCAAGTTTCATATGCTTCCCAATCTGTGTGTTTCAAGTTGAAGTCGCCGACTACCAACAGAACAAGAACTATCCGCTCTTGCTATAATCTTTCATTATTGTTATAAGACCCTTTCGTTTATTATCCAGCTCCTCCTTTGTCCGTGTGTTGCTTGGCAATGGACTATATGCATTTATGATTATTAGTTTATCATCCTGATGGCAGATTTCTAGTGCTATTATGTCAGCTTCTTGTGGATTGGCAATCATTATTTCATTTACCTTTAGATGTTCTTTCACCAGCACAGCAACGCCACCACCTTTTCTAATTTTTCTGTCCCATCTCCAAACTGAGTAGCCCCTTGAGAATATAATCTCGTTTAAAACACACACACACACACACATCCGTATGTGTATGTATGTACTCACCTAATTGTGCTTGCAGGGGTTGAGCTCTGGCTCTTTGATCCCGCCTCTCAACCATCAATCAACAGGTGTACAGGTTCCTGAGCCTATTGGACTTTGTCATATCTACACTTGAAACTTCATATGGAGTCAGCCTCCACCACATCACTTCCTAATGCATTCCATTTGTCAACCACTCTGACACTTAAAAAAGTTCTTTCTAATATCTCTGTGGCTCATTTGGGCATTTGGACACTGGTTTCCACCAGTGTCCCCTTGTGTTAAATAGCCTGTCTTTATCTACCCTGTCGATTCCCTTGAGAATCTTGAATGTGGTGATCATGTTCCCCCTAACTTCTGTCTTCCAACGAAGTGAGGTTTAATTCCCGTAGTCTCTCCTCGTAGCTTATACCTCTCAGCTCGGGTACTAGTCTGGTGGCAAACCTTTGAACCTTTTCCAGTTTAGTCTTATGCTTGACTAGATATGGACTCCATGCTGGAGCTGCATACTCCAGGATTGGTCTGACATATGTGGTATATAATACCTGTTTGATACCTGCTTGATGGGGTTCTGGAAGTTGTTCTTTTTCCCAAGCCCGGCCCGAAGTATGTTCTGAAAGATTCCTTACACAAGTTTCTAAAGGCTGTTCTTTATGTATGTATGTATGTATATGTGTGTGTGTGTATGTATGTATGTATTATATACTGCATATACATAAGCTTGATTATTAATTTTACCATACCTTTTCAAAGCCAATTTCAGATATATCAGGAGACAAAGAATTAATTCGCACATCCCCATCAGTATCAACCACCAGAAGTAAAACAAAGTTAAAGAAGACAATAACACCCATAGTGACAAGAGATGCTGTTATAAGAGGTCCAGGCCACCTTACTATTCAGCCAGTAAGTGTTTCTACTATCGTTCTTAATGTGTATTTATCATTAGGAGAAAAGATAAAATTACCGGTATTCACACAAGATCAGTTACTTTTTCTCTGTTCTTTATGGAATGATATGCTGTGTTAATATTTTGTATAAATATTTTGTATAAAGTGCTTCATACTAATTTGCAAATTTTCTTGTAGAGAAAGTTGAATTTGTTATATTTTTTAGAAACTTGAGAAATAAGCAAATATGAATTCAGATTGTCTTAGCCTTTGGTTTCAGGTAACATGATATAGCAGACACATCATCATTGCATTAATTTTGATGATTCAAGAATTTCAATTGTAATTTTTCTTTCTGGCAGGAAAGTGGATTGAAAAGAAAACATGATGATGCAAGCGGCACAGCATCCTTACCAATGGAAGAAAGACTCAATGCACTAGCAATAGATAAAACTACAGTAGGAAATGCTATACTACCGCCAAAGGCTGATAATCTGGCACATCTACTGCTGCAGGTACTTATTATGTTCTCATAGTATTCTTGTTAATAACTTTAGTTAAACCCAATTATTTTTGGCAGATGTGTTGTTGTCGTCTTTCTGAGAATTGTGCAGTATGTAATTTTAATTTTTAATCTAGCACAAATTCCAATTGTTTTAACTTTTAAAACCTTTTAACTACAGTACTCTAGCTATTAATTAGATATTCACTGCAAGAGAATAACTTGCTGTTTAGTCTTTATTTTCTTTGATTTTTATATACTATCTTGTGACTGCATCTTGTTAACTGGAAAAATACAGTAAAACACTTGTATATGATCCTAAATGTAAGCTGTACTGTACATGGATTATATTGCTGATTTACAGCCAAATTAAATAATAACAGTTGTGATTGGTGTTCCCGGATGAGTCACTGGTTGGCCATTAACCTATTAGTTCAGGAATAAATAATGAATAATGGTTATAGCTGTGTGATTTAACAAAGTTAAGAATATTGTTCAGAGATGTACTGCACTGAAATATATAATGTAATATACAATTCAGTATTACATATTGCAATATTACAATAGTCATACAAGGCAAAATACAAGAATATTTTTTAGGGTAGGCACTGAACAGCAGCATATTGAAGGTGGCAGCCATACAAGTCCATGCTACAGGATGAGGTAAACAATGCATTTATTGAAAATGTTGTTTTACAGGAACAAGCCACTCGGAAATCAAAATTTCTGATTACAATGTAGCATATGTAATAGAGAATTCGTATGTACCGAGCCAAATTATCTAAAATACTTCACTCAGAGAACTCGCTGTGTATGCTTCTGTCAGGTAGAGAAACTTTATCAAAATAGTGAGAAACATGCTTAATGGATATTAACTGGCCTTTACAGAACAATTACCCAGTACTATTCACAGAATGGAATATAATAGATTATAATGCACATCAAAGTGTTGCAGCCATAATGATGCTTACCAATGAAAAATAATAAGACTTACAGTGTAAATATAGCTAGCCCAAATAAATGTTTGAATGTAGTATCAAAAAATCTTTTAAAATATTCATCACATTTTTCTTTATTCAAAATGCTCATTTTCTAAGTTTTGGCAATTGCAGTCAACCCTGAACAATTTGTTCTATTCAAGTCAAACTATGTTGTACTTTAAATTTTTCTAAAATATTTCATAATATTTTTATTGTGAAGTAAATCTATAAGACTAGGGATACCTTTCTTTGATTGCACTCATTTGATCAAACCACCCTTACTGGTATAGGAGACCAGGGATACGTTCCTCGATCAGTTGTCGTTGGGAAATGTGTTTGTGGAAGATTATATCTGTATTTGGTATCTTTCATCATCTATTTCTTAATACACAAATTTTATTCAGGGTTAGATGATCTGACCATGTCATTTTAAACTGAATTGCTCTACATAAGGTGAAAGACCTGTTACTTGTTTGCACAAAAGCACTGTCCTATATGAAGTAAGAAATGGGGGAATTAGAAGCAGTTGATTTAATTCTTGTTTTGATTTCAGGGTTTGCACAGTAAGGACCAGCGTATACTTCAGGGTGTTTTAGATCGTGGAGATGAGGAAACTATCAATAATACTGTGCGAAGACTACCTATACCAGCTGTAGTGCCACTTTTAAAACAATTGCAGTCAGTCATAATGGGCAAGGGCCAGAAGTCAGTATCTAAATTAATTTTTATTCTTTATTCATATATTTTATTTCTAACATAATTGTGTATGCTATGTAATGTTGCTCTGCTCAAATGGACTCTACTTTTTGCCCATGCAATGGACTGGACCCGTTCTGAACCAGAAGTGTTGCATGCTCCTAAAATGGAGTTTATACCAAAAAGCTTTAACCCTTAAACTGCCCAACACATCATATGATGTGTTGAGTAACTTGCTATAAATTGTGCATCAGGTCATATGACGTGTTGGAGTACTACGCAAGATTTAAACGGCCCGCGGATACACGGGGTTCACCTCGCCTTCATCAGGGCTCTTGTAAACAGGCGCCATTTAAAAAAAATCGTGGGCCAAATTCCCGGGTGTGACGGCCTCAGTATTGATTGAGCCACCAAACCTGACGCACGCAGAATGAGCTCTCGGCACTGCTGTTCAGCTTGTGACCACAGCATTGCCTAAAAATGCCATAATATATATGTTCATGCTATTATTTAGCAATGATAGTATTACAGTAGACCCCTGACTGTGATAAAAATGATCAGGATTCTGATAACAGCGGGATTGTTGTGATAATTAGTGCTGTAGTGGGAGGAGTAATCTTGGTGGGGAGGGAGGTAGCATTGTCTGCTGAATCTGTGTGATCATCTTTTACTGTCTGAACTCACTATACCAGCTTAATTACACACAGAAATCACAATTGCGTGATGCATCAAATGAACAAATCCATAAGGGCCGTGACGAGGATTCAAACCTGCGTCCGAGAGCATCCCAGATGCTGCCTTAATGGACTGAGCTACGACATGGTCAAAAGGAGTTGAAACCGAAGTTCTACTGAGCTTACTGGATCCTGCAGCCTCTCCGAGGCACATACCAGGGTTTTACTCAACTCCCCCTATGCACTCAAGCAATGTCAATAGGCCGTTCTCCCTCTTTGCCCTTACTTCATTACACACAGAAATCACAATTGCGTGATGCATCAATGAACAAATCCACAAGAGCTGTGACGAGGATTCGAACCTGCATCCGAGAACATCCCAGATGTTCTCCGGTGCAGTCACTCTTCCTGAGTTCATTAAAAAGTGCTGCCTTTTCAACATTTTTTAAACTGTTTAGTTCACTTGTGCAGTAGAACATTTAAAATTTTAAATAATTAAGTAATATATTTTTTTTAATTTTTATATTAAATACACGAGATTTATGAGCTTACTGTAAAACTTTTATTGTTTTGATTTTAAATACAAAATAACTATTGTGTATTTCTTCTAAAACTGCATTTTCCTTGTGTTTTAATTTTAAATACAAAATAAAAATATATAATGAATTTGATAATTATTGGGACACATTTTGTTGTGGCGCATTTTTTGTGTGCTTGCTTTCCCTAACATTTAACATCAACATCAACCTAACCTTGATGAACCTTGATGAACCTTGTTCATCAACCTTGATGAACCTAACATCAAACATGTTTGTGTAGTTTTAGTCAGTTTTGATGTTTCCATCGTCTTATTATCTTCAGTCAAGTTTATATGTTGGAAGGATATGTGGGATAGCAATTACAGTAATAAATTCTAAGGCACCAAGCACTATTTCATGTCAGCAAAACTGGAAATTGGAAACTTCATTAGCCTGCTTACATATTGACCATGGTCATGTGATGAAATGGAAACGTGTCACTTATTTCTCTAATTGCCTTGCTTACCTCTCGGTTACATTCTTCCAAAAAGACTAAGTTGTATATGTTTTTAAATTTAAAACAAATATTATGTTTCTTGTATGTAAAGTGTTCTGTAATTTATTTTTATCATAATGTACTATCAACTGATTTCAGATAATTATAGCGTTCAGGAGCTGCATCAATTTGAGATTTAATTGTAATTTTTGTTTTGTTTATATAATTTCAGAAATTTTGGGTATGTGAGATGGGTTAGGTCTATTTTATACCACCACATGAGTCATTTAACAACACTTCCCAATCGAGAGGAGCTAATGCAACCATTCTACGCAGTCTCTTTATCAAGAATGTCTACACTTCACCAAGTGACTCAGTTACATGCACGACTGGATCTCATGCTGACACATGTAACAACAAGGCACCAAGAAATCAAGCAATCTTCTGTAGAACCAGAAGCTCTTCTAGTATACAGAGAAGGTACGTGGCCCCACAGCTGGTTGTCTAGTACTGCATAAAGGGAAGTAGAGGCTTATTTATAGAAAATAGTGCCTGTGGCAAACACTGAAATTGTTCCCCTGTCCAAATATTGGACACCCCTCATTTAGAAAATTTTACTATAATATCAGCTCAAAAATACAAGTCGAGCTTCTTAATTTTATAATTAACTAATTATGGCACTACATGAAAATTACAGCTAATCATCATTTCTTTCACTGATATAAATTGGTCTGTGATGTGTTCACAGTCAATTTTTTCAGTTTCTCATTCTACACTAAGTAGTCAGAGTCTGCCTTGAACCATGGAGGCATTCAAATACATAAGTATTAGTTTTAACTTGCTGATTGGCTGGCAATGGAAACGAAGATGGTTAGCATCATTTTGAATACATTTAACGCAATTTTCCAGACTATCTCCCTAATTTGTGTAGGAGAATGGTCATACTGCCAGTTGGAACTAAGTAATGTTACTGTGAGGCTGAGGTCATGTAGTTCCTAGCACTTTATTTTTACCGAATAATTTATGAGTGGTTGAACAGTCTGGCCCTCCTAGTGCTTCTCATCTATGATAATTAAAGACAGATCATACATCTGAAGAAATTAATTTTTTCACTGTCATGGATGGCTTGTCTGTCTTAATAGAAACTGCTCAGTGGTGCCCCCTTCAAGTGGTGCCCAGGGCACGAGCAATACCTTACATACACCACTGCAAGGCAAGTACATTGCCCACAGCTGGTTGTCTAGTAAACAGGGGAGGTAGAATTAGAATTGTTTTGTTGGTGGAATTGGTATAAGAAAATCACCACCAAACAATAATGTTTCTTGAACCTTCTGCGTCATTTGTTTCCATAAGGTCCAAACAATGATGCTTTTTAAACTTGCAGCCTCATTTGCTCATAATTTTCCTGCATGTTATCTGTGTAATTACTTTGCATTTTACATCTGTATATATATTAGTTTTGGGACGATTAATCAAAATCAATATCGAGAATCTGAAGAATCTAGCTTTTTCAGTACAGTAATCAGAATCGAGAGAAATTTATCATGATTTCTGATTCTTAAAAAGATTCTTTACCATTTATTAACAAAACTAATTTAGTTTTGTCTCGGTAGTTTTGGTGCAGAAAAAATTATTCCCAAAAAATTTTGTCTTTGTCTTATATTATTAAAATGCATTAAACAAATCTAGAGTAGTATTCTGTATAAAATGTATTTGAAGTTAATATTTTTGGGTGTGTGGAATGGATTAATTCAATTTACTATACATTGTTTCTTATGGGGAAATTTGTTTCGGTATTTTAATTTTCAGTGTACGACCCATCTCTTGGGCACGAGTTAAATTCGTAAACCAAGGGTCCACTGTAGTAACAAACATGATATGTAGGGCACTCCCATTTTTCCACGATATCATGTGTTGTGCAGGACAGGGGATTAATTGGTCTAATGTTGCAATATTAACTTTATTTGAAATAGGTTTACAAATTTTATTTTATTGTATTGTGCATGATTGAAGCATGTATAATGGAATGTTTTCAGTTTTCAGGTTTCTTCCAGAAGAGAAAGCTAAATTTACCACCTGTTTTCTGTTCTTTAACCAATTTATTATTTTATTAAATTATTAAATTTTTCAATTTAAAATTAAAAATGTTCAGAAAAAAATGTGTATCCAACTACAGTGATATCTCAGTTTTCATAATTAATCCGTTCCCAGAGACATTACAAAAACCGAAATTGCAAAAGCCGAAACAAATTTTTCCATAAGAAATAGTAAATTGAATCAATCCGTTCCACACCTCTAAAAATATTAACTAAAAATACATTTTATGCAGAAAACTACTCATAGGTACCTTACCTTTTGGAGGACTCTTGTTGGCATATGGAAGACGATGAGGAGGGAGGGGAGGAGAAGTGTTAGTGTTTGGAAGGGTCTCCTTCCTTTATAACATCAGGCAGTGATGACTTTTTGGGGCACACACTCTTACATTTTGTCTGCATACCACTAGGATCTGGTTGTGGCTCACTGCTTGTTTTTCTCACTGAAAACCTGTCAAGCGACACTTGTTTTTCCCTATGTTGTAACACTTGTCTGAAGTGAGACATCACATTGTCATTAAAAAGGTTAACACACAGGCCTGCTACAGCTTGATTTTGGTGACACTTTTCAACAAAACTTTGCATTTCTGCTCATATTGTACACCATTTCTTAATTGTTGAGGAAGGGACATCCTCTACTGCCTCCTCCTTCCTTGAAGATTTGTTGTGCTGCCTAGCTAGTTCAACAGCCCATGTACCATTTTCATGTTTATGAATTCTGTCTTGTTTCTGCTCTATGGTCATCCTGACTCTTGTTCTCTTAGGTTGAACTTTATTCTGACCTTCTTGGGACCCATGGGGTGATATATAATAATTACTTTTATGTTCAGATATTAAAAAAAGACCCAAAGCAATGAAATTCTTCGTAAAGAATTCAACCACGGTCGTGACCTCGGCAGGACGTTGGTAAACTGATCGCGCCTCGCCACGATGCCACGTTCTTGGTGGACCTGGACGTGTATAAACGAAACGTGTATAAATGATAAATGTATTCCGAACACCGAGGCAAACAGGAGTACCGAATCAAATTTTTGACTGCGAGTACCGAAAATTACGAGAACCGAGGTTCCACTATACAGGGGTACCTCGGTATACGAATTTAATCTGTTCCTGGAGACGGTTTGTAGCCCAAAAATTCGTAAACCAAAGCTAATTTCCCCATAAGAAATCATGAGAAATGAATTAATCCGTTCCTGACTCCCCCAAAAATTAACTTCAGAGTACATTTTATGCCTAATTTACCCAAATCTTCATTACAAAAGTATGTACAAGTTATTACTTACCTTTACTGATGACTCCTGTTGGTGTATGGAAGATGGTGAGGAGGGGGGGGAGGAGGAGAGGTGTTACTGTTTGGAAAGGGAGTCTCCTTCCATTATAACATCAGGCAGTGAAGACTTCTCTGGGTGCACTCTGGCACGTTTTGCCTGCATACCACTAAGATCAGCTTCTGGCTCACTGCTTGATTTTCTCACCAGAAAATGTTCCATTGAAGATTGTTTTTCCTTCTTTGTAACACTTGTCTGCAGTGAGACATCACATTGCCATTAATAAGATCAATGCAATGGCCTGCTACAGCTTTATCTGAGCGATTCTTTTCAGCAAAACTTTGCAGTTCTTCCCATACTGCACACATTTTCTTAATTAAAGAGGAAGGGACATCCTCTACTGCCTCCTCCTCCCCAGAAGATTTGTTGAACTACCTAGCTAGTTCAACGACCACGTGTATCATTTTCATATTTACGAATGATCTCTTGTTTTTCCTCTGTTGTCATTCTTACATGTGTTTTCTTGCTGTGAACCTTACCACTGGCTTTCTTGGGACCAATGGCGAGATATATAATAACTTTGATGCTTAAATAGCCAAAAAATCTAAAGAAAACTGTAAATCCTTGCAAAGAATTTAGGCGGGATAGTCACTTGGCAGGAGACACTGATAAACTGAGGCATGAAAGCCGTGCCACCACATGCTAGGTCGGCCATACGCGTATCAACAAACTCGTATCCCGTAGTAAAGTTCGTAGCCCGATTCAAATTTTTCGAAGAAATCTGACTCATAATCCGAAAGGTTCGTAAAGAGGGGCATTCGTTAACCGAAGTACCACTGTATATTTTTTAAAGAATCGGAAACAGATTATCATATCAGAATTGAGACTTTAGTGAATTCTTCATCAGTATTGGAATCGCTAGAAAGTTTAATATTGTCCCATCACTAATAAATATATGATTCATCATTAGGTTTTAATCACAAAGTTTTAACCACTGCCAGTGAATATATAGTTCAAAGTTCTGTACTGTACAATAGTACATCCATTGTCAGTTGACGTTCTATAGTTTTGCCAACAACCATCTATTTATAAAGTTAAATACTTTAGGAACTATTTTAGTATTGAACTGTTTTATTTAGTTTGGTTCATTATTTCAGAATCATCAGATGAAGACGACATGTTGGAAACCACTTTTGGAGTTTCGGAATCTGAGGACAATTGGGAAGAATTTTCAGACATTGGTGAGGTTAATGGACACACAGATGAGGACTCAGATATGGAGGTGGATCAACAAATCAGTTCAGTTAAAAGAAGACTTGACGAGGAGGAGGAGGAGGTGGTGCATGAAGTAGTCAGTGAGAGTGAAGAGGAAGATGGTGATAGTGACATTATTGTAGAAGAAAGTGATAGTGATTAAATCTTGAAAGGGTGCTATGTGATGATAGTTTTGTTACGTGTCGGTATAAGGCAGCAACATAGTGGGGGGGGGGGTGAATGTACGTAGGTGTACATTCATATTTATGCACTGCTGTCAATTGAGTTTTTTGTATAAATGAGCTTTTTAGCCGCAAGTCCTTTTTATCTGGCTCGCAGAACCAGACTCGCAATGTTAACTCCACATAAAGTAATATTTCAAGTAAGTGCCAATGCTCATATTGGTACTGAACATTTCAATTCTACTGGTTTGAGCACTACATACATACATACATATATACATATATATATATATATATATATATATATATATATATATATATATATATATATATATATATATATATATATATATATATATATATATATTATCAGAATTGAGACTTTAGTGAATTCTTCATCAGTATTGGAATCACTAGAAAGTTTAATATTGTCCCATCACTAATAAATATATGATTCATCATATATATATATATATATATATATATAAATATATATATATATATATATATATATATATATATATATATATATATATTATAATATTTATTTGCCATATGATTTCTAGTTAATGATGACTAAATTATAGGCTGTGGGAACAAGGGTTTTAAGAAACTATAAACAAAATTGACATTCACCAAAATGAGATGCTACTTATTAGACGTCATGCAATACCAACATTATTACCAAGTAGAAAAAGGTATTACAGTACTAGGCAAAATATTTGGTATATTACAGCTCGGGAAGTTTTCATATTGAGAGCTTGAATATTATTTGTTATGTTATTGAATTAATGTATTAAAATTCAGAAATTAAAATATTTTCTGTATATTTTATGCTAATTTTAGAAAATGTTTGTATATTTACAAAGAAAATATGGTTTTGAAATGGCAGTATTTGTTGGCCTATTCACTTGCATTTTAGATTTTCCACCACATGTCTGCCGCATTTAGGTATGGCTTTAACATCATTGACCGCGCCATATCATCAATGTAATATTTCAATACTGTACGTGCAAGCTCATGTTATCTACAGTTAGGTATAACAGCATTCGTTTTTATCCTAAAGTTTAGGTTTGGGACAGTAAACATTTTGTTGATATATGATGATAAACTTTAACATAAAGCATATGTTTTACTGTGGTTAAATCTTCCTGGTTAACTGTGCTTAATGAACACAAAATGTGTACCAGGTACTACATGTGGTCGGACTATGTACTAATGCTCTACCTCTACCATGATCACTTATGCACGAGCATATCCTCATGCTTGAAATATTCAACTTTTTTAAACAAGTGAGATATCAAGAAATATAACTACAAAAAAAGTGATTTAAAAATGGTGAAATTTGTGCTGCATAGAAATTGTCGGAAGCTTTAAATCAAATACTGATTGAGGGCTGTAAATATTATTTTTTGTGTGTTAACTATGGTAAAATAGTTTATACAGTTATTCTTACTTTTACTGTAATTCCATTTATTGATAGCGTGTGACAATCATTAAATAAGCTAAAGCACTGTGGAAAAATACCCGACAGACCACTGGAACATTATCTAACACAGTGCACTGTTACAAACCCATTAAGATTTCAACTTAGATTCAACAGAGCAGAAGAAGTTATTAAACACACATGGCAAAATCTTACTGAAGTGACCATACGAGTCATAAATACTCATACTCCGCCCAAGTAAAACAGAAACAAGCAACATTTAGTGGGCCAGCCAGAGGCTTAGGGCCCGTGCAGGAATATCCCTGAAAAAAAAATAAAGCTAATGATAGCAACTTATCCAAGCACATTGAAAACTTGATTTTGCCATTACTTTTTGTATGACCATTAGAAGCTAAGCATTGCTAACTAACAATCTTATATCACTTGTATTATGGACTCAAAAAGATTGAGGTCTTCCAAAAAGACTTCTCTAGTTAAAGAGGAAGGGAACTCAGAAGAAAATTCCAAGCCATTACAACTATATAGTTTCTCAACATGGAGCGAATACACGACTAAACAATATACACATACTGGACTGTATCCAAATGACTCGTCTGAAATTCAGATCAAAGTATACCAGTTACTAATGAAGTGCTGGCATAGTATTTTTAAATTTGTTGACCAAATATGCCTTTATATGATGATTATATACCTAGTAATCTACTAACTCTTTTGAACTCCTTGATAGGGGGGATGTGAACATCAATTTGTTCTGCCCCAACTGAACCATCCTCTTCTGCTGCTCGCTGAGCACCACAAATGTGCAAGGTGCCACTGAGTTTGCAAAAATATATTTACTGGGTATATTTCTGCCATGCACAGCTATTTATGGTCATAAAGACCTTATATTTTTATATGTAAATGTGTATAAAATGCCTGATCGACATTGCTGTAGGAAATAGCTCCCTGAATAATGTTTATTCAATAAATGTTGAAAATTAAGCATAATTTGTGTGGAAAACCATTGACTTTTTTTACTCACCACTTGGCATATGGTCGAGCAGTGCCGACTTGTGAAGTGTTATGTTCAATTTATTTTGTGTAAATATGACTGAAGTTATGAATGGGGAAAAACAATTTGAGGGATTTTAGCATCGGACAAAGCACCGAAAAGTTATCAGAATACAAAGCTAAAATTAGCACAGAGAACACCTGAGACATCACTGGAATGATAAAGCTAATAATCTAATCTTTTCTGTTTTCTAATTGAAATGGAGCAGTTGCACATATCTAAAAGAAAACCTTTTCTTGAGTAGCCAAGTGAATCATAACTTTCAAATTTCTGCATGTACTTCACAACAGTTAACCTTTGTGAAGTTGAAACCTGCAAATTTACTTCTTTCACTTGTAAGTTTTATAAAAGGTTTGTGTTGGTACAGAGGTAAATACTTTGACATTCATTTTCTAAATTACTAATAATGAATCCATGCGATTTATAATTTCAGACGAGTCCTGTAATACAATCTGTTCATAAACAAAAGCCCCTATGATCAATTCTTACTTATGATAAAGATGTTTGGCCATGTTTCATTAGACCTGATGCCTCTGTTGACTTAACAATAAACAGCTGAGAGCTAGTCAACTCTTTATGTTGCATCCTGAGAAAGGTCGGACAATAGCTTTGGGTAACCTCACTTAAGTTTAACAGGTTTCCTGTCCTTGACAGTGGGAACCAAAATAAAATAACCATAAGGTCATTTAATCCCTACACTGTGCACATGTTTCATGTGACAACTCCATGGTGCCCAGGGAAAAAAAATCTAAATTTTGTTTTTTCTAATATTGTTGAAATGCATTACCTGATTATGAGAACAAAATAAAAAAAAAATTAGATAGGTAGCTTTCACTGTGATGGAGAACGGAAATATGACGACGTCACTGACTCGCAAACATTGATGAATGAGACACCCTGTGGAGGTCGCCTGATGTGTAGAACCAGTGGTCTACAGAAACGATAGCTAGCTTTAGGGTTCCAACTTCATAAATTTTTTCCCTGATGCTTCTATACCTCCTAATGTTCTTTTAAGTGTCATACATTTAAAAGTTTTGTCTGGTAGTATGTTTTAGCTCTGCTTCATAGCTCTCATTTAACTGGTACAGGTGCATCCTTCCCTTCAGCACCTTGTCATGTCTGCTTTTATCCCTAAGGAGGGAATTTACTTCCACAGTTTTATATAGTCTTTTTCCACTGCTTATTCTCACACTGAAATAGTACTTCCATATATCCTGTTGATTTGTCTTCAGTTTCCATTTTTTCCTTATTCAGTTTTGTTGCATATTCTACAAGATAGTTCTTTTAACTTCTCATAAACACTTATTTCTGGTACAATTTCTGTAGTAGATTTAAACAATCTCATTTATATTTTTGTACTTCCCTTTTCAGCTTTCTAAATGTTATTTGATAATTGGCCAGATTATTGTATTTTTGTGATTTGATAATAATTGTTCTTCTGGTGATAGACTTTGCCTAGTATATACTCTCCTCTTTTTCCTGATATTTAGTGTCTTCACCCTCAGGGGGTGTACTATTTTCCTGGTTTCTTCTCCCTATGTCAATCCTCATTAATTTGTGTTCTAAATAGCTTGTTTAGTGTAATGAGCTACCCTGCAACCCTTGGTAGTTGATTTTTTTTCCTTGCTCTTTTCATATTTATCATCAGCAAACTTTGATTTACATGATCAGACAAGATAACTATTTAAATAAAAAACAATGTTCAAAATCAGGGCCATCTGGAACACCACCTGTTACTGCAGAATCCAAGGAGAGCATGCTTGACCCTGCTGGTGGAATCTACGGGCTCACCATAGCCCGTGTTACTTGGAACTTTTTGTTCCAGGTAGCGAATCTTTAACAACAACAACAACCAGCTGGTACAAATGTACACGTGCGCGCATGCACATCATACAGAAGTGTAAGGAGGCAGCAGACAAGTTAGTCGCAGTCCATAAGGAAAACAAATGAAATCCAGATATGAAACCCTTGGTTTAATCAGAGATGTAAGCTAGCAAATCAACTAAGAGCAAGAGAACGGAGAAACTAAAGAAATAACAAGAGCAGAGAAAGATACCAGAGCGCCAGAAATGAAAACGTCAGGGTTAGAAGAGAGGCAGAAGGACAAAATGAAAATAACATAGCAGGCAAGGCAAAGACTCAACTTAAATTGCTTCACAGCCACATAAAGAGAAAAACAACAGTGAAGGAACACGTAATGAAACTGAGGACAGGGGCAGGCAGATTCACACATAAAGCAAGGAAGTGTGTGAGGAACTCGATATGAAATTCCAGGTCTAAAGGAAATTCCCTCTTCAACAAGGAGAAGTCCTAGAGATAAGAGAGGGAATATCTAACCAAACCCCACTAGAGGAGGTGATTACCAGGAGGGGGAAGTGAGGAAGCTAGAGTCTGATGTCACAAAAGCTATAGGCCCAGGTGGACTCTCACCCTGAATACTAAAGGAAGGAGCAGAAGCTCTATGAATGCCACTCTCTATGGTGTATTACAGATCTCTGGTAACAGGTGAACTGCCAGAAATTTGGAAGACTGCTAATGTGGTCCTGATATTCAAGAAGGGAGATAAACAGGAGGCACAAAACCACAGGCGAGTGTCCTTATTTTACATACCATGCAAGATGATGGAGAAGATTGTGTGAAAAAAGCTACTGGAACATCTGGAGCGAAAGAACTTTGTAACACATCAGCATGGGTTTAGGGATGGCAGATCATGCCTCACAAGATTAATTGAATTCTATGATCAAACAAAAAAGGGAGGGGTGAGCAGACTGCATATTTTTTAATTGCCAGAAAGCCTTTGACACAGTACCACACAAGTGACTAGTTCACAAGCTGGAGATGCAGGCAGGAGTGAAAGGGAAGGTACTCCATTGGATAAGGGAGTACCTAAGCAACAGAAGACAGTGAAACATTGTGAGGAATGAGGTCTCAGATTGGCGAGGTGTCTCCAGTGAAGTCCCACAGGGATCAGTCCTTGGACTATACTGTTTGATACATGTAAATGATCTCCCAGAGGGAATAGACTCGTTCCTCATTGTTTGCTGATGATGCAAAAATTATGACGACGATTAAAACAGGAAGATAGTATGAGGATACAAGATGTTGTAGACAAACTGAATGAATGGTCCAACAGATGGCTACTAAAGTTCAACCTAAGTAATTATAAGGTAATGAAACTAGGCAGTAGAAATGGTAGGCCAGACACAGGATACCGAATGGGAGGTGAAGTCCTTCTTGAAACAGAAAGATCTAGGTATTGATATGCCAAACCTGTCTCCGGAAGCCCACATCAAAAGAATAACATCAGCAGCGTATGCAAGGCTGGCTAACATTAGGACTGCCTTCAGGAATCTGTGTAAGAAATCCTTCAGAACCTTGTATACCACGTATGTAAGACCAATCCTGGAGTATGCGGCCCCAGCATGGAGCCCGTACCTTGTCATGCACAAGACGAAACTTGAAAAAGTTCAGAGGTATGCCTCTAGGCTAGTCCCAGAACTAAGAGGCATGAGATACGAGGAGAGGTTGAGTGAATTGCACCTCACGTCGCTAGAAAACAAGAGAGCTTAGGGAGACATGATCACTATCTACAAAATTCTAAGAGGAATTGACAGGGTAGATAAAGATAAACTGTTTAACACGGGTGGTACGCGAACAAGGAGAAAAAAAGGCGGACTCTTGAGTACCCAAATGAGCCACAGGGACGTTAGAAAGAACGTTTTCAGTGTCAGAGTAGTTAACAGATGGAATGCATTAGGCAGTGATGTGGTGGAGGCTGACTCCATACACAGTTTTAAATGTAGATATGATAGAGCCCAGTAGGCTCAGGAACCTGTACACCAGTCGATTGGCAGTTGAGAGGCGGGACCAAAAAACCAGAGCTTAACCCCCGCAACCACAACTAGGTGAGTACACACACACACACACACACACACACACACACACACACACACACACACACACACACACACACACGCGGTTGTGTGTACTTACCTAATTTACCTAATTGTGCTTGCGGGGGTGGAGCTCTGGCTCTTTGGTCCCGCCTCTCAACTGTCAATCAACTAATGTACAGGTTCCTGAGCCTACTGGGCTCTATCATATCGACACTTGAAACTGTGTATGGAGTCAGCCTCCACCACATCACTTCCTAATGCATTCCATTTGTCTACCACTCTGACACTGAAAAAATCTTTCTAACGTCTATATGGCTCATTTGGCCACTCAATTTCCACCTGTGTCCCCTAGTGCGTGTGCCCCTTGTGTTAAATAGTCTGTTTTTTTTCTACCACAAACGTGGCCACACATTTACAATGCTAACCAGCATATATACATTTTTTTCTGTCCTCCATGGACAGGGTTAGAGATGTGTTAAACATATTGTTCAAGGGTTTATTGAACAATCAACCACAGAAGGTGATTCGGTGCTTTTAAAATGCTAAGCTAACCTACATACGTAAATACATAGATACACAGATTTACGTATGCCTTACATAAAGTGTTCGATGTGTCTTTCTTTATCTACCCTATCAATTTCTTTGAGAATCTTGTATGTGGTGATCATGTTCCCTCTAATTCTTCTGTCTCCCAGCGACGTGAGGTTTAATTCCCATAGACTCTCCTTGTAGCTCATACCTCTCAGCTCGGGTACTAGTCTGGTGGCAAACCTTTGAACCTTTTCCAGTTTAGTCTTATCCTTGACTAGATATGGACTCCATGCTGGAGCCGCATACTCCTGGATTGGTCTGACATATGTGGTATATAATGTTCTGAAAGATTCCTTACACAAGTTTCTAAAGGCCGTTCTTATGTTAGCCAACCTGGCATATGCCGCTGATGTTATCCTCTTGATATGAGCGTCAGGGGACAGGTCTGACGTGATATCAACCCCCAGGTCTTTCTCTCTCTCTCTCTGACTCTGACTCTTGAA